ATAAGTAATTTATCTTTGAGTTTACTACATTTACTATAACAAATGTTTTGAATTGCAAGAAATGTTTTTAAAACATATAACCGTAGGTATGCACTTCTAGGATAGTACCAAATACCGATAATGATAAGGTCTACTTAATTCAGCTTTTCCTGAAAGAGTTGCAACCTGGGAACGGTTACGTCATTTTTATAAACTGACAATTTACAATCAAATCGTTTAAAATCATGCACGTACCGAACTATACTTCTCTAGCGGTGGTACCGATCCTAGGTAGTACTTAAGACTATAGTATCAATTTTGAAACATCTGACATGTGTTTCTAAAATATGCTTCAACAGATATTCTTGAGGACGGCAACATTTTGGGAAACAGAATACAGATAAAATTGGGCGCATCAAAACCAATTTTCACTGAAGCATTTACAACCTTATTTTTAGTACAGGTTCAGTTAAATGATACATATAAACTGACAATTAACATTCAAAATGTACCGTATGAATCCGACAAGTGAATGTTGTTTTTTTTATAGATTTTATTTGATGGTTCTAGATGGTTAGTTTGACGACTTCAGATAATCATGCGGATTCGTCATTGTTTATTCCAGTCATTTTCCCTAGAAAAAGACCGTTTTTGGAAAATACCATATCAATTTTTTATAACTTTTTGGGGAATCTAGTAGTTACCCTGTTATAGGAAGTATGCAAGATAAATTTGTCAACTGTACCAAACTTTAAGTCTTTAACTGGTAACACCCATACACCAGATGTTTTTGAATAGTAGTTTTATGTATGGTTGAACTTGTTAAAGCTTTGGATATTCATGGAACTTCATGAACCAACAATCTCATAAAGAAAATACGGTCAAACATAAACGAACTTTAGAAAAATATTCTATAAAAGTATTTTTTAGATATTTTTAGAAGGTAATATACAAATCTGTAGCTCGCCTTCGGATGAGGGATTTACTCGCTGCGTTGACGCCTCATTGGTTGCCCTGGGGTGTTTTCTGTTCTTATGTCGGGTTGTTGTCTCTTTGACACATTCCCCGTTTCCTTTCTCTGTTCTATGTCAGTGACCAAATATTGCTTCTATTTTGATGTCTGTAAATTTACCTTATTGTCAGTCAAACGAGACAAACACAATTATCACAAAGTCTATCATACATAAAACAATGAGAATTCGGAAAAAATAAAACAAATAAGCATAATCATAATCTGAATTACACTATGCGCTTATACAAAATTATTTGATTTCAACATGGGCGACCAATAAGATATGAAAAGACAATTTCCAGTCAATCGAATTTTTAACAATATCTTGATCTGAAAATATTTCTATTTGTGCTATATGACAGATCTTGTCAAAAACCTAACAATGTGTAAATTTGTAGAAAAGGGTTTTGATGGAACGGATGATTAAAAATGCATGTCATTTTTAAAGCAATGTAGATAACATAGGTCAAACAAGTTTGAGGCCGTTACAAAAAGAAATGTTCAAATCAGTTAACCCATCAAATAGTATTTTTTTTGTAAATTTTAGAAAGGGTCTTACCTCCCATCAAACGTTGCCCCTATCTTGATTGACACAATGTCTACAAGAAATTATATAAACTAATTTAATAAGAAATAGAAAAGTATGTCAATATTAATTAGAATAGAACAACTTGACAATCACAGATTCAAGATAACCTATATTTTAAAATAACTGTATATATAAGACATTGAAATGTTATTGCAAAACTACATGTATATGTTTATAGATTGCTAACAATCGCATTAATATTTATTTTAAGCGCACAATTTTCAACGCTGTAAGTGGCACCAATTGAGTATTCACATCCAAACTTCTCCATTGTTTACTGTGTGTTTTAAGAGAACTTAGCCTTTATTGCAGATCTTTGATCGTTTCTGTTAAATTTTTCTCAACTTTAAAGACTTTTAACGATTTAGAGCTTGATGTATTATACAGGAACCAGGTCTGATGTAGGCTGTATGGTGTCTTTTTGGATGTCTTTTTATATTTGTGTCGTAGGTTTCATTGACATATGGCAATTATTTCCTTTTATTTATATCATATCCAAACGATAAGACGAGACTAAGCAAGCTGACAAACCATCCATTTAGCTGAGGACGAGAACATACTTGTCTTTACTCTAAATCCGTAAGAAGCTTGGTAATTGATATTTTAGTCTGAAAAACATAGTTTATGTTTATTTCTAGTAGTTGGTATTGGGCTTTAAACTAGGTTTTAGTAATATTCTAATATTGATACTTTGTATCTTTTGTCTTTTTAGTTGTGTTTGAGCTTAATCTCGGTTTGTTCTTATGTTGTGCTGTTACACCGCTGTAAATGAATATGGTAGGGTTTAGAGAACATGTTTATTCCCGCCACAATCTGTATATATCATGTCTTAAGACAGGAGCCTGTAGTCTCGATTGGTTGCAGTCTGTCATAATTGCTTTTCATTTAATGTTAATAGCCGAAATCTGGTGGTTATTTTTCTCTGTGGTATTGTTTCATATTTGTTATCCAGAGCCTTGTAGCTAACAATTCTTTATGTGTCACACCTTTTCAATTTAGACATGTCTCCATAATCTCTCTCCAAATAAAACAACCCGGGAAAACGACACTATTTAATGGCCAGTTGAAAGGATTTGATATTATAAAATGAGGATTGATTGATTTTGCGTTTCGTCTAGTTTATATATCTTATGCTTGTAAAGTCTTGACGAATTCAAATTTTCAATCAGAAACTTTTTATCGTTTACAGTTAATAATTGATCGATGGTTGTGCCTTACTAACAAATTAAAAAATAAATCAAAATAGTAGGTTTTGCAAAGTGATTCGACCGGAATAAAAGGCAAGGAATTTGGATTGTCACTAAAAAAGGGTATGTTGAACAGGAGGAGATAATTGACCTGCATTTTGTTATCTATCTTGAATTTGTGATTGTCTAATTGTTCTATTTTAATTAATATGGACATACTTTTCTATTTCTTATTAAATTAGTCTGTATAATTTCTTGTAGACATTGTGACCCTCAAATAGTTATTGTAAGTGTTCTAATTCGCGCGCAAAGAACTTGACAATCTCACATTGGTCGTTAAAATAACATCCCCGTTCAGATGACAATTCACCTCATGTAATCTTCAATAATATTCTGACAATATTTGAATGTTGCAATATCAAGTATTTTGTCAAATTTTCAGTGCGCGTCAATTGCGGATAAATATTTGTACCGCACAGTAAAAACCTAACCCTCTATCAAACTGACAAACGTGCGTACGCACTACAATGAACATATTGAAGAATGAAACGAAAACTAATAATTTATGGAGACCCTGACAAGAAAAAAAAAACATCTTTCGAGTTTAGGCAGAAGAAGTTTTTGAACTACACAGAACTCATCACTTGTTCTCTTGAGTGAAGATTGGTTGCCCAATGGTTATTTGCTTTAAGTCAACTAACCAATTTTGTATACTTATTCAGGACGAGAACACATTAAACAATTTATCAAATACATAACTTTTGCAGGGTGGTCCAACCAAGATGAAGGGGTAAGGAATAAATTGAGAATGGAAATGGGGAATGTGTCAAAGAGACAACAACCCGACCAAAGAGCAGAAAACAGCCAAAGGCCACCAATGGGTCTTCAACACAGCGAGAAAATCCCGCACCCAGAGGCGGGCTTCAGCTGGCCCCTAAACAAAATGTGTACTAGTTCAATGAAAATGGACGTAACACTAAACTCCGAAACATATAAATTAACTAAAATAAAAAAAAACATACAAGACTAACAAAGGCCAGAGGCTCCTGACTTGGGACAGGCGCACACATGCGGCGGGGTTAAACATGTTTTGTGTGATTGTCGACAAGAAAATCGGTATTTACTTTAATATCAGAAATGCTGTCGTGATAGGTCACAATAGGAGTTGTTACAAGGGTTTCTTCGCGTTCAAAGAATATGACACTTTCCTACCACGCCTTAAAAAATATATTCCTGATTTGTCTTTGTTTGACGTCTATTTTCTCGGAGGCGTTGGGTGTTGGTGGTCAGTAGGTCTGAGTTTTTTGGTAATTACTGTTATCCTTTTCATGTATTATCTAAGGAAAAAAACAACATTATCTTTCTCAAAACTGTCTGAAAGATGTTTGCTTCAAGTGCATACTTAACTGCATATAAATAACTACGGTTTTTCTTATAATGGTTTCTTGATCTGCAATTACTGTTTCACTGATTTCTGATGCACGTATAAAGAGTTTACTTAGATTTTTTTTTGTTTTAAATGTGCAAATTTCTTTGATTTCATAAAAAAAAATACCGTTATATTGTTGAGATAAGGAGGGAAGGAACATAACTATTTAGTGATAATAAGCGTAAATTAAGATGTATCAGAGGTTTATAGGAAGATGATACGGAGATGATATGAAGACGTTTGTGCACATTTTGACGACAGCGTAGACATCAGTATATGTTTCACTACTTGTCAATTAAATAAACATTCATCAAACAGAAAATTTCCGGCTAGCTCTGCAGTAAACATGCTTACGATGTTGACCTAACTAAAAGTATGTTTATGTTATTACGCTATTCTGCGTATTTATACTGAAAACACATCTAAAGCAAAAATAAACTGTCTACAACTTCAAAAGAGTGTACAACTTTGGCTAGTAAACCTATTAGATTGATGGGTATTTTACCATACAATTCATGTAACATTGTCTGCCGATATATATTAATACTAAACGGGGACATTATGTTACGATTAGTCAATAGATTTTAATAGAACGTAGCCAAAGCTTAAATTTCAAAGGTTGTCTAAGTCATCTGTAATATCTTCAACAAGGATCAATGTTTGAACTTCTCAATTTCGAGTAAGTCATCCATGCTGCTTCGAGTTACTTTTTTCATAATTATTGAAGCTTGATTTTCTTGACTTTGATTTAATATTGTCCAATCAGCGTACGAAGTTATGTTACCCACAGTTATAAATAGTACAATTAGAATTAAATGCTACCTCTTTTGCAGAGTAGGTGACAAGGGTTTGTGACATGGAATAGTGATCGTTGTGGATCTACTGTGAAGAGATAGTTTGCTTGTTCTTAAGTTGTATTATCAAACATTGATTCATTGGATTAATTTACATGCTGTTTTGAGGGAAAATCTTAAATATTCATATAAAAAGGTAAGGAGAAATTAATTGCAAATATACACAGATAGATATAGCAGATAATGTAAAGACATTTCTTAGGAAATGATATTTTTCCTTTTCGGAATTCTTGAATATTGTTAAACTTATTTGATTAGCTGGATGCTTCTCATTTTCAATATCAGAATATTTAATCTGTCATATATATCCATTTACTATTTTATAAATTCTAATATTACTTTGATAGTTTTTAATTACGGGTTTCCTTTATTGAAATATATATTTTTTTGTATTTTAAACACATTACTAATTATATGTTTGTAAACTGTAACTTTGAATTGGAAATTGTTTGCGTGAGATCAAGTAGAAGTTAAAAGGGTTTTTATTTCACTTACAGACCAAATGGGTATCCACCTGTGTAGGAGAAGTCACCTCCTCGTCCTAGTCCTTTGTATAAGTAAGTAGAATTAAGTTGTCGTGTTTATTTCAATTAACTAACCAAAGTCTTGTTAAGAAAAGCGGAAAATTTAACATGAAGGATATCTGTTTATCCGATTGTTCGGCATTTAGTTTCTTCAATGAGTTTGAATTTTCACACTTGTTGAAATATTTAACTGTTGAAACGAAAAACATAATAGTTAAACTGATATTATATTTGTTAAAACGTTTAGGTTGTCAATAGCTTTCAATTTTATAGTCCATTATATGGGAAATGACAGCTTGTTATTTCTCGTTAAATTGTATCGTTGTCACTTAATATGATTTGCTGTTGGAAACTTTACTTTAATATTTATTACTTCTGATATCAGTCTAGACGCACTTTTGATTTTTTTTTATTCTTTCGGTTAATATTTCAAAAGGATAGGATTTGTAACTTTGCATACAAGTTCAAACTTTATATTTTCTTTTAACAACCTTCGACATAGGGAGTGATAACATTCATTAACAAGAAAAACACATGTTCTACGAATAAGATGGGTAGAACAGATTGAAATCTCAAAGAGTTTTGTCTGGAGCTTGACGGCTTACATTGATAATATAGATGCACGCTGTCAAATATGATTGTTAGAATGATTTGATATGTTCGCTCCTAGTATGAACTTTCAAATTAACATAGGAATTAGTTTTATGAGAGTGAGACGTGTGCCTACAATCGGCATGGACAGCTGCAATTGTTAAAATTCTATACTATACCAAAGAGTGCAGAATTGTTATTCTCATACTTTTGGTTTGCACTAACTTTTGGAACAATGATTTTGTATTTATATCTGTCTTATAATTGATAACTGTTGTATTAACGTCTTAGAATCAGAAATATTTCAAATGAATTGTTATTTTTTATCCTGTTGGCTCTAACTTCTCGGTTTCATCAATTATAATGATACGGTGTAACACATTCAGCGTGTAAATACAGACATTATATCTAATAAAAAAACTATATAAACAACCGAGAAGACATAACAATGTGAAATATGAAGAACACGAGGTGTGGGATAAACTTCGATTATACAGCAAACCAACAACATAAAGTACACAGAATCAGACACAAATTAAAGGCGATTTGTATGACGCATAGAATATACACTTCAAACTCTTGACTGCATTTGTGCTTTTTATTAAGCACAACATATCCATACCAAACCGTTCGACTGAGCGCCCATTTACATTTTGGATTTTTTCCGTAAAAAAACCCTCAAATTTTTACCGTTTTAAAAAACTTCGAGGTGCAATGCCGCAGGATTTTTTTTATATACAAGTCAATAATGAAGTTTTGCACTAACGCGGTTGCATACTTTTATTTTATTTAAGCACAAACATTCACCCAAATTCATTTATTTTATTTATACAGTAACAAAGAGTTAATTGAATATTAATGTTAAACAATACTTTTTCCCACTATTAGTCCTTCCTAAGTTAATTTAGACTGACAAGCAAAGTAACAATATACCCTTGTGACGACATTTCGATTCTATATAATGAAACTTTTGGTGCTTAACTAGCTGAAAAGTATGAGTTTACTGTTTCTAAAATAATTTATTGGCTTTCATTGACTCTATTAAAGCTCATTGTCTTCAATCGGATATATCAAAACGATTTATGACCAATACTCATTTGAAAGACAACAGGCCAAATGGATCACCTTACATCTCAACTATCTCCAACTTTTATAATTACTATTGACACGTATTAACAAGTTTTTCTTAACCTTTTTGAATAAATAAAGAGCTGCGCCTGGTGCAGCATGATTGAACCACAGCATGTCTATTTAACAAAGTTGGACAAGTGTATATTAATTTCAAAATGAATATTATGACAAAAATCTTGAAGATCGAAATATTTAGCTTTTTTCTATTTTGAAATCGGTCACTGCCAATAAATAATACTAAAAATTGAAGGCAGGTTTTTCTATTAGAAATTCAAAGATATAAAAATAATTAGAAATAAAGTAAAATGGGTTCAGTTGGTCCAATTGGTCCTCGAATATCGCTATGTCAATTTAAAAAAAAAATACAAGATAAAACTGCAAAAACTGATGAAAACAGTAATTTGCATATTAAAATTAGTACTGTTATATTTCCCCCTTTCAGTCCTTTTTTTAGAGAAGGTTGGGAAAAGAATGCACAAAATCAAATAATTTTCCAATAGTGACAATGCTTACAGTTAAAATATAGATATGCACACACAAAAAACGGTCAGATAAAAGTTCGTAATTGTGACTACAACCGGACGACATCATCATCGACGCCATGCCATCATGTCAATACGACGTACAAATTACTTTGTTCTGTACCTGAACTGAGTCACCCACATACCACCTGTTGCTAGGTCAACTTATTTAGTTTCAATTGTGTACACGACTGTTTCCTGCACTTTTTGGGGTAGAATATTCATTTTTAACTTGTCTTAGGCAAGATTATTTTTCAATTCTTACCACGCTAGGATATTTATTTCCAAAACTCACCCCCGCCCCCCCCCCCCCCCCCCCCCCCCCCCCCCCCCCCCACGTTTCCCCCCATTCAAATAGTCGTCCCCTTATCTCTTTTTCGAATTTCGAGTGGTGCAAATATCGATATGATAACCTTCGTGAAGTGAAGTAACTTAAGGTTCGATCACTTTCCGTTCCATTTTGCTCCTATATACACATACTAGTAACAATCCTGAAAAGGTCTGGCTTAGAGGAAGATATACGAAATGACAAATGCAAATTATCTTATATGTCTGACAGTATTGGACACATGAATGTGAGATTTCAAATTCAGGAGGGAGCAATATATACTTTATAAAGTTTTCGACTTTCATCCTTGGCAATATTTACGCACCTTCAGCGTGTTGTTGCCCGTTCAAAAGGGGATGAAATGGCTGTGGTCAATATCAGACAGGAGACAGGTTCTTTAATAGTTCACAAAGCGGTTATTCGTTAACTAAGTTCTATGCCATTTTAGTGAGCTTATTTGTGACCAGTTCCTTAAAAGTCAAAAAACAGTTTTTCGTAAATCTTTGTTGTTAATTTTGCTGATTTGACAATTTTTACTTAATGGCAAACACACAAGTGCACTGATAAGATTTCTTTGAACTCTTTCCAAAGTCAGTTTTATTTTTGAAATACTGTCTGCGGTTAAGTAGAAAGATCATTATTTTAACCACATAATAGTTGCAAATCTTTATAGAGCTGCACAATTATATACTGATACGCAGCTGGTAAATCTATCGTAAATGTTTAAAACTTAAAAGAAATGAAATTCTTGTTTATAACATTTATTCTGATTAATAGTATTTAAAAAAAAACTCTACTATATTCTAGATTAAAGAATATCGTTGTGCAACGCAACAACCAAACAGAGTTGTTTTTAATACATTTTGAATTTCGCTTGTGATTAACAGCAGGTATATTCAGCACGAGCTTTATCTGTCATCAAGCACCAAAGAGCATGGCTTGATTAATAAATATTATCACTAAAATATTTAAATTAGATTTTGTATATTTTAGACTACATGAACAACAAAATCATGGGTGCTTAAGTGCAAATATCTTCGACCATGACTTATATCAACCTGAAAACTTGAAATAATTATGGAAATGAAGAGTTATCGTTTATTTTGCAAAAGCAACTGGAAATGAAAAGAAAATGAATTAAGTATCCAGTTTCCACATATATAAACCGATGGTATAATGAAATTTACAATTACTACCAAGTTATCTATATACTTATTCTGAAACAACATAGAGCCCCATCTTAAGACAGTAAGATGTCAATGCAATGCATTTATGTTTGCATGAAGCATAAGTTAATTGAAAACATTATTGATATGCTTCTAAAATAAAAGTCAAAGATTATAAACTCATGTTGGTATTTGACAAAAAATGGTTTTTAGGTGTCTAAAATGTGCTAGTTTGCTATATGATATAATTGGACTTCCATCTTAGTAATATGATGGTTCTCTTTGAGTTTGTGCAAGATATTATATCGTCTACCCTTGGTCTGCAAATTCAACTATCTCCATTTTCGAAAGTCTGCATGCATGTACAAATGTTATAAAAGTACATTTATTCGATAATCGGTTTGTAAAATATCATTTATTATACATTTGCATATTCCATGTTTACCATTTTTACTTAGATGTTTAGATATTGTATTGTTATATTACGTCATATAGGTTATATTTCTGTTACTTAGATGTTTAGATATTGTATTGTTATATTATTTCATTTAGGTTTTATTTCTGTATCTGCTAGAACATGCTCAGACAACGTCGTAGGCGATGAAGATTCTCCTGGTAGGTATTATCTGGGAGTTTTTCTCTCTTAGTTATATGATTTTCAAATACATGCTGCTGTTGAACTTTTTATGTCCTCCTCTTTTGACAATAAGTCATGGATATATTAGTTTCCTCCTATTCTTGACAAAAATATTTATCAGTTTTCCACAAAATCAAGGCATCCATCGCCTCAGTCTACTTTGCAATTTTTAAGGTATGACCTTTTAATATAATTTGATACCTGCACATATCTAAAAATTAAATATTTTGTTCAATTTTTCGAAAAGTTTTGAGTTGTGGAACTTTTCTTTTCAAGTGTACATCATATTTGTCATTTTTTGCACTTCAACATCGTATTAACTTTAATATCTCATTTAAATGTAAAACTGTTTTTAAGAACTCAAGTGTAATTTTTTGTATGGAAATGGCATGCTGCCCAGCAAGGGCCCTTAATTGTAACAAAAACATTCTTATTATAATTCTTATTATTCTATAACTAAGTTTTGCGAGGTCATGCATAGTCTAGTTTTGTGTTTTGTGTTTTCACGATTGAATCGATTGAATTACTAAGTCACTTTTGCAGAAAATATAGTAGCAGATAAAATTACATAAAAGATTAATACAGATTAAATGTACAAAACCTGTTGCATATACTTGGTTCCCTGAAATTTGTAAGATGCTTCACTTTCTTGGCTCATTTGACAAACCTTCTCTGTGTGTTTTATTCAAAACTACTTGTATGTTAATAGTATTTGCATCATATAGGACTTTTTTGTTTTATGTAAAACAAGCTATGATAATATGACGTTTGTTTCAGCCTACGATTTCATTTCTGCTTTAAACTTTGATGACCATAATACAAAACGAGGTATCCGAACAGAAACAGGGTCATCACCTCGACAAAAAGCATATAGGATATCACGTCGTACCGATGCCGATCTTCTGACCGTCTCTACGAGGTATGAATCATATTACAAGCTATTTTAGTAGCATTTGTTGCATTTAGATAATTATGGTTACTTTCCCAAAGGGCAAGTTGTTAAAAAAAGGGTAATGTCGAACCATGCACATTGGTAGTTTTGAACTTTTGCTACTTGTCTGAAAATCCTGAGAATGACTATCACAGTGGAACAAAGTTTCACATAGAACCATATGAGAAAGATACAGAATAGCTCCGGAAACATTTGGTGGGGCACAACCAATGCATACACTCGGGTTGAGAAAACACTGTCAAACATACTAACATAAATAAACAATTACTATCGACACTGATCTGTGTCCACACTTGTTGTATTTAGATAATAAAAGGGAATTTCGAAGACTTGTATTTTTGCTTAAATAATTTATTGAATATCAGTTGTTTTATCATATTTCAGTCAAGTTTTTCCTGATGGATTCCCCGCGCAATTTTCTTTTATCTCAACTTATAAAATGGCTAGTAAAACTCGAAGTGAAACTTGGGACCTTGTTGACGTTCAGGATAACAGAGGGGAAACTCAGTTTGCTATTCGTTTGTATGGAAAGGGGAGAGAAATTCAAGTGATTTACTTGAACAACTATGGGAAGATTTCCGTTGCTAAATTCAACAAGAAAGATGTCAGAAACGTGAGTATAAACATTTTAAATACGATGTTGACAGATTACAAACAGCAGATTTTTTTGTAATTACAAATGATACCATAGAGATGAACATGCTGTTTAATATATACAAATTATGCAATCTTCTTACTACCAACATTATAATGTATTTTCGATTTTGCAAGCTTCAATTCAAAAAGATAACAGGCCATAACCATAAGAGAATGCAGATTATGCTTCGGTAAGAAAAATTCTTTACACAATACGATAGTGACCTAATACGATATACACGGGATCAGTAAATTCCATATGGGGCTCGTGCTTAGCAATGATTACATAGAGATGAACATGCTGTTTAATAGATTCACATTATGTAATCTTCTTACTACCTATATTAGAAAGAACAAATTACATAAAATATAGATAAGAAAACTTTACAAGGATTTAGCAGAATAAACAATTTTTATTACTATACACAAGACTTTGAAGATGCCAATCGGTTTAATTTGTTTTTGAATCTGTTTATAAACATACTTTGATTGTAAATGGAGTACACCATTTTTATTTTATTTACAGGCTTTCCAGAAGAAGTGGCACAAATTAATCATAGGTTTCACAGGGAAGAAAATAACATTAGTTCTTGATTGTGAACATACATTTGTATCTGCTTTAGACAGCACAATGGGAAGAATTGATAACACAGGAAATATAGTCATCGGACAAGCACAGAAAACAAGAACTGTTATGGTAATAATAACATTTTTTTATGCCGGGGGAGGAGGCAATTTAAAGATATAAATTGGAGAACAGAAACACAAGGGCCAAAAGCAAGACGGGTTGACAAATAGTCTACAAAACAGTACATAAAACAGATAAAAATTTAAAAAGACAGACAATAAAAACTCAGATGCTACAGAATAATAAGCACTTTCTGCTACACTCGGAGCACAAATCTTATTGCTCATGACAAGTTCAAATCCAGTGAAAAAATTAATTCTGTGATAAATAATAGAAAAAAAGAGAAAAAAAAAACAGGTTTTTTTTGGGGGGGGAGGGGATTGAGTTTGTCCAACGGTCTGTGAAGCGAGATATAAACCTAGTTCGCTAATCAATTGTATATACATTATTGTTCAGGGGCCAACTGAAGCCCGACTCCGGGTGCTGTATTTTATTGCTGCGTTGAAGACCGTTTGGTCAGAATGTTGTCTATTTGACACATCCCCGTTCCATTGTCAATTCTTATTCAGTCTTGAAAAGCTATTGGGAAAACAATTTATAAACCGACGTTATAGTTCATTTTAAACAAAATTTTGTGTAGATCTATTTTCTGTGCTATACTTTTAAGTACCATAAATTTATACAGTTTCATGTATATTCGATTGTTTTCATTGAGAATATACATTATAATAGTATCATGATTATAAAAAAAGGTTACAATTATTCTATTATTTCCAGTTTGATTTACAATGGATGGTGATTCACTGTGACTATACTAAACCATCTAGAGCTACATGTAATGAACTAAATCCAGTGGTAAGATTGAACAGTTTTTTATTATGAATTTCTATATCAAAATGCAATCTGAAATTTTAACTTGTCTGTATCATAAACTACTTCAATCCTCAGTCTGTTTTAAGTAACAAGGACCTTCTTGCGTATTAAGAATTGAAAGAAGTTTCCTTGGTATTTATGTACAAATGTAACTATAGATGATGAACTTTTCATCTGATTATTCGTGATGTATAGACATTACAAAAGTTATATACAGCTTTCACTTATAGCAGTAAAGATACACAAGTTGTTCGATGTGGCTTTTGTACAGATTCTTCTTTCAAATATAATTAAGATTTAAGTGCTCTGGTGGTTTGTCATGTTAAATTCTTATTGTTTGTAATGTTTCATACGACTAAAATTGTGAATGACAGTTGTACAAGTGGGATATGGTTTGATAGAGTTTTGTACAGCATAGTCATTCTAGTTAAACAGTTTCACGAATAGGAGGTTTACTACGATAGACCCCTGGTCAAGGTAACAACCTTCCTTTTGAAAGTGCATGTACAAACTCCAGAATATAACTGTTTTCAGTTATTATCTTATGACATTTGTTTCATAATTTAATGCTAAATTGGTAAAGTGTTTTTGTCAGAGGAATTAAAAGTTTTTTTTTTTTAAATCTCTTTGAAATAAAGTATGTTTGATATTGCTTATGTGAGCACATGAATACGTAAATAATTATTGATTGATATTTCAGTTCAGTACTTGTAGGTTCTGATTTTGTGTAAATATTTTAATGTAAAAATGTATTATATTTATTCCTATAGAATTTTTGGGATGGATATCAAGCAGATAAGGTACAGTAATTATGCACTAATACTTATTTTGTCTTTTTCTATAATGCACCGGACACTACCACTGTAAAGCCAAGCTACTGGCAGGTACCACACCAAATTGAACAGGAGTAGTTGATCTGTCTATTAGTTTAACTGTAATTAAATTTTTGGTTTGCTTGTTATAATTTATGTTTTACTTTGGTATGCTAGTATTTTGAAATACATCATTCAAAAGATCAACTACTCTTGTTCTTTTTGTGTTCATAAAGCTTCTCATTCTTGCAAATATAGCTACTCATAAAAATACAAAACATTAGATTTAACAATTTATTTCAGTATCCTATGTTAATAGAAAACATTAACAGTTAAAGATACAATTTGGAAATTTATTGCGATGTAACGTTAATGCTTTATTTTTCGATATTATTGTTAGAAGAAATTGATAAAAAAAATATAAATAAACTAAAACAATGGTTCCAATGTAGACACCATATAAAATAACAATAATCATAAAGTATTTGTGAAAATAAAAATGTGTATTCAGCAAAGCTTTTCTTCATGTAATCGGATTATATATGAGTGATTCACTATACTAACTACACGGCGACTAGATTTACTCACGATGGTGACGGTACTAGCAACTAACCCACTTTAACACTATGCTGTATTTCTTTTTAACATCCAGTTCCTTTTATCCAGAGAGGGGATACAGATCCAGGATGTGACATGGTGTGCCCTGAAGGTCCACCCGGCAAAAATGGAATGGATGTAAGTTTGCAATAACATGTATTGTTATTTAGAATGTCAGTCAGTCGCTTTTATTATATGAATAACACATCATTTAAATAATGCTTGGAAATAAAAACTGTTTTATCATTCATTGAGGGAGAAAGCACATTTGATTAGACCCGTCTTTGTCTCATAGTGAGGAAATTTGTTGTTAATCTATCCACTATTATCCTTAAGATCACGCTTTATGTGCTAATCATGATATTTTCGATTCTTTTTTCGTAATGCATGCCGCAGTATAATTGTCTACAGAAATATTTTTTTTAGTAAAAAAACTACTCAAATATCCTCGTTTTGACTTCGCCTCATTAATAACACAACATTTCTATTGATTTTCTATAGTAAGACGAATATGTTCCAATTGTCGTTACCACTATCCCGTCCTCTTTTTCATCGAATATGACCTACTTAATTAGATTTATCGCCTGGTTTGTACTTACACGTGGAACACGACGGGTACCACATATGGAGCAAGATCACTTACCCTCCTTGAGCACTTGAAATCTTTTCTTTTGGTGGGGTTCATGTTGCTCGGTCTTTATGTTGTGTTTCGTTTTTTTTTTTTGTGTCTTTAAATAGTTTTTCGTTTTTTGACATGACATTGTCAGTTCGATTTTGACTTATGGGTTTGAATATCCCTTTGGTATCTTTCTGCCTCTCTTTTATCCCATAACAAAAGTCTTTGTGAATTAATAACGTATTTTATGCGACCGTTTAAATGAATATCACTTAAAATTAAATGCACTGTATGAATTTTTTCATCCAGGGTTGACTAATTCATTAAAATGTTAATTTGTAGGGACTTCAAGGAACAAGAGGACCACCAGGTATTCAAGGGCTGCCAGGAGAAGCAGGCTTTGATGGACAACGTGGCCCTCGTGGACAGGATGGCTCTGATGTAAGTATTGAAGGGACATTAGCTGTCAAATTCATGTTCAGCGATTTGACTCAAATTCTCATATTTGAATTATAGGATATTAAAACGTATATCCAAATAAAAAAAAGTCTTAAATAAGCAACCCCGCCACATTCTGTATGTGTCTGTCTCAAGTCAGGAGCCTGTAATTCAGTGGTTGTCTTTTGTTGCTGTATATCATATTTGTTTTTCGTTCATTATTTTGTACATAAATCAGGCCGTTAGTTTTCTTGTTTGAATTGTTTTACATTTGTCATTTCGGGCCTTTTATAGCTGACTATGCGGTATGGATTTTACTCATTGTTGAAGGCCGTACGGTGACCTATAGTTGTTAATTTCTGTGTCATTTTGGTCTCTTGTGGAGAGTTGTCTCATTGGCAATCATACCAAATCTTCTTTTTTTTTAAATTAACAATGCATGGACTCGATAATATATATCAGCATTTCGTGTGTATTTTGGTCTAGACGTCATCTAATTTATCATCGAGATGACCTCCGGAGACTGCCGACGGTCATATAACCCGATATGAACATAAACAGAAATAGAAATATAAAGCGACGTGCAATTGGATTTTTCTAGGTCTGTTTGATTTCACATTGTTGGTTAAAAAGTATGTTTATCATCGTTTTTACCTGTATAGGAATGATTTTTGGTGGATCGAATCAGTCAACGAATTGGTTCATCATTGTTTCACTTTCAATGTTGACATTCGTTTCCTTTTAATAGCTGAATACATGCGTAACCCATCTCCAGCTAAGGGGTTGAATTGAAGGTCACGTGAATACGGATTCAATGAGGTCGAATTATTCACTTTCAAGTGAATAATTCATCATTGATGTTTCTTAGCTTATTTTGACAAAATTGAACCAAACTGGCTGCTAAAAGCGAATTATTATTTCACTATTTCACGTTCATTAGTGAATGAAAAAAACATATATCTTTTTTTCATTAATAATACAGAAAACTACATACTAAATTGAGCATTTTCAAAAGTTGACAATGTTACATGGTTCAAATATAGATTTTTGACAAAGAGTGTGGGAAATGTACCAACGGGGTATATTTTAGAATTAAGAGATTTCACACATTTTTTTCTCAAAAGTGTATATTGAGGTTCAAATATTTTCATTATGCATTCATCATTTAAAAAAATTGGATAATCACATTGAGATGCATTGTTTTAAAATTGAATATCTTGTTTAACATATAAGGGAAAGCCAGGAGCACAGGGGATACCAGGTAGAGATGGTATAAATGGAGCACAAGGGGAACCTGGAAAAGATGGCACACCTGGAATGGATGGCTTACCGGGTGCAGATGTAAGTGGAAGAGTATTTTATAATGATTTATAATATCTATATGTACTTATATATCAGACATTATTGTCTTCCTTATTGCACATGCAGCATATTTTTTCTTTTATTTTTACTTGACATGTTTGGCCAAGATGCCTTAGTCTTTTACAATTATCTGATTTGGTTGGCTACATTGAACGTAACATAGCAAACTGATTCCATTTTCAATATTTAGAACAGATCTTTGTTACTACACAAATTTATTTTAGCAACAGTAATCTTGACATTTCATGTGATTGCCAAGCATATATAGCATTACTATTGTATTGTAGGGAATGGAGGGCAGAACAGGACCAGCCGGGCCTAAAGGAGTTACAGGCGAACGGGTAATAACATAATCTGTTCTATATTAACATTTTTTCTCATTATAACTTAAAAAAGTTGTATGATGTATTGTTATCATAAAACAATAGAAACTATACTCGACTCACCTTCGGCTTGAAATAATTGTTTATAACGTTTTGGATGAAGCTTAAATCCCGTGAAATATTTTCAGCAAATGACAGAAAACGTTCTATTTACAATTTTTTTTTATCATTGCTTGATTCATTTACATCAGTTTTTATCTTTAGTTGCTTATTACATGTTCTGAGTTTTATCTTGGTAGGGACCACATGGATTGGCAGGTGCAAATGGTATTCCAGGAAAACCGGGAAAACAAGGTCAACCAGGAAAAAGCGTAAGTTGTTTTTATTATGACGTATATTCATGATTTATTTCAATATTCACTTTGAATGTCCGAGAATGATGAATACAAGACATAGTAAAATCAAAGTATATTGATGTTTATATTCTATTTTTAGATTATTGGACCACAAGGACCACAGGGACCCGTTGGTAACGAAGGAATTCCTGGTTTTAATGTATGTATTTTTTTGCTCTACAACTTTCGAATTTAAATAATGAAATATATTGCAGCAAATACTGATTTTAATATACTAGATATATTAGCAAACTGACAATTTAAAATATTAAAACTGCCCCAAACTTTTTTTTATGAACATTTCGAAATAATGCTTAGCTATTTTTCTTCTTTTGAAAATATTGTTCTCTTTTGACAGGGCTTACCTGGTGAAACTGGTTTGACAGGTGACAAAGGCGAAAAGGTAATAATAATATAATTGAAACAGCATAATCTTTTTTGGCCAGGTGGGAGGTAGAAGGTCCTTGTCAAGCAATATAAGATCAACCCATGCATACACTTCAGATCATTACCATTCATGTGATCGGTAAATAGACGAAGCGGACATTGGATAATGTTTTCTATTGAGACAGGAATAAGAGAAGATATGTCTTTATATAACTGTGTTTATTCCAATTAGCCTTTAATCATTCGGGAACTCTTTAGAGCAAGGATAGTTTTATGAATTTACAGATTTTTTCAGTATCAAATTAACAGTGTGAAATCCACACTTTCAGCTTGAGATATGTTGAGGTTTCATACAATCAACACACCTGTAAGGTTGTATTCTATCTTATCAACCTAAACATTTATCATGTTCTGTGCCAACGTTGTGCTCACTGAAAGTTTGACAATTGAGTGTTGATAACGATCGCGTGTTTAACGGTTGTTAATACTTTGTATGGCCCTTTAGCTTGTCAACGGATGTAGTAATTACACAGACCCCTTCCTGTTTCCTGAACTTTATTTGATACTTGGTGCAATTTCTTGCAGATGTGCATTCACGAATCTGTTTTAGAGAAAGAAATAATTTGTTAATAATCAGAATTTATTTTATGAAAGACATTTAAAAAGTTTAAACACCTGGATGGTACTAAATAATATACGTTTCCTTTGTAAAGTTTAAATTTAATAACTTTATACTATTAATATATTTTCTGTGTCAAATATATAATCAGGACCTCCAACTTTGCAGAGATATGTAAATGATTTTTTATGTGAATTAAATTATTGTCCACCTGTACAATCGTGGTACGATCAGATTGGTTATAGGTCATGCTAATTACCAAAGTTTACAATTAATTTCAGACATAATTCATTTGATGTTTTGTTAATTTCTGACATACCATATCAAATTATATATATAGATAACATTTTTTCAAAAATTTTAGCAACAATCATTTAATCGATATTTTTGCTGGTATATAGCTTTTACACTTACACAAAGAATTGTTCAACAGTTAACAATACAGTTCTTTGCGTCAAGATGAACCGATAGATAATTCTAGCCTGTCAAAATTTTGTATATAAAACACGTATATGGTTTAGTGATTATCAAATACCATCCCCAGACATAATGATCAAATATAAATATGGTTGATTATTTCTGTCAGCAAGTCGATTCTTTGATCGCACTCTGGTGATAGCATTGAAATCTATATAATGCAGCACGCAAATGCAGTTAACAGCAAAGTTTGGTATATGATTACATTATTGTATTGTGAATTTACCAACGATTAAAAGTAAAATATGTAAGTTGTCAAAATTTGAAAGACTTGCACTTCAATCATTGAAAACCAATGTTCCTTTTCTCTTCTAAAACAATGGATGACTAATACAGAATTGAGTCTATTATCAAAATTCCACAGCCAAGGGTATGAAATAACCTAACAGTTTCACAAGATCCAAATCAGTAATAAAATATATGAATAAGTGTTTAAACTCGTGTATATATTCCATTAAACCATCAAGTTTACTATACTTTCGTGTTGCACACAGATTTTATCTATAAAAGACTAATTTGTAAAACGATAACATTTCGAATTAAGAGAAAGTTGTATATGTTATCGATGTATTGATTGGAAATCAAACATCACATAGTGTTACAATCTTAGAGGTTAAGTATTTAGGAATTAAATTAAAACATTAAACTTAAAGTTATTTCAAAAATACTAATTGACAAATAATAGTGTTGATCACAATCACATGACATTTACCATTTTACGTTCCTGGTAATGGGAAAAAAGGACATTTCATTTCATTTTCACATATCTATTTCTTTTTCTTTTCACCTTTATTGTAATTGATGTATTTTGAATACTCATACTGCAGGCTTGATGGTCGTCGCTCTATTTTTTGTACCAATTCTTTGCTATTAAATTTCACATTTTACTGTAACCCATTGCTTTTTTAGTAGTATGTCTAATTGAATTAAATAGTTTTATAGGAGTCTTTGAATTTCAACTTTACCAACGCGATACAATATTTATTAGAATGGGGACTACATTTCAACTTGCAAAGTCATGGAATGAGAGAGAAAAAAAATCATCTTCTTCGTTTTTGACCAACTAAATTTATCTTACCACAAAATAAACTATTACAAAGTATCAAGTTTAAACCAAGGACTAATCTTAAGGTTTTGCATCTTCAAAACGAAGGTGATTAATTATCCAAACAATAAATCTGTGCTCTTGATTTCTTTTTTCAAATTGCCACTATGAAGTCTATATATTTTTTTCAAACAGACATGGTTTATAAAGCATGTTGTTTCTATGGTTTTAATGTCATATCTCTTTGTAGGGCGACCCTGGAGAAAAAGGAGAGCATGGATCTCCAGGACCAAGAGGACTTGAGGTATGAATTTATTTCACCAAATTAAATGGTTTAGGAAATTTTAGTATTGAATTCTTATTTTTTATAAGGAGGATGTGATATGATTGTCAATGAAAAAACTTTCCATTTTCAGATCAAATAATCACGCTTTGACACAGTGAAATGAAAATGTCATGAACAATGGCAATAAACCAATGTGTTTTTTTTTTCATTTAGGGACCAGAAGGACCACAAGGATTACAGGGTATTCCAGGACCACCTGGTCCATCGGTGAGTTTTTCAAATTGAAAATTAGACTTACAATTGAGACAACATTTAATAGTTTAGGTAAGTCAATTAAGTAGAAATGCGGGAACTGCTTTCCTGTACGATAGTATTCAACAAGAACATTTTTATTATCTAACCAGAAGATATTTATCCACATGTGTTCATCGATCAGGAAACTTATAAGCAGTTGTTTGTAGTGAATGTGCTTTTTTACATTAAGCAATATATATTTATATATACAAGTCTAAATTGAAAACAACGTTCAAACCTATGATTGCGTTGGATAAAAACCGCAATTTTTATACGTGTGCATGCAAAACAAATTTCTTGGTAGAGGGGTCTAAATACAGCACAAACAACATTTTCCAAAAGACCAAAAAAGTGAAAAAGTATATTTTAACAAAACGCATTTGACTAGCAGGTCGAACAACGGATGTTCTTAAACCCTGCTGACTGCCATTGGCGATTGCTAAATAAGCGGATCACCAGATGTAACAAAATGGATCTTAAATATTAATTTAATACCAAACAAAAAACAATAAACTTGCGGAAAAGATGGTATACCGCAAACAAAAGGTGCAAAAATTAGTACACCATATCCGGATTTCGACAATTAATGTCTCTAAAGTGATGATAAGAATCGAAACGGTATTTGGAAGGCCATATAATTTACCTCAATTTAGGATAGACTCTTGAATTTTGAAGAGTCGAAATAGGATGAACGGTTCATATAAACCCGAAGGCAAATATAATACAAGCCCAAACGAAAAAATATAAACAAGTCTAAATTGAAAACAACGTTCAAACCTATGATTGCGTTGGATAAAAACCGCAATTTTTATACGTGTGCATGCAAAACAAATTTCTTGGAAGAGGGGTCTAAATACAGCACAAACAACATTTTCAAAAAGACCAAAAAAAAAAGAAAAAGTATATATTAGCAAAACGCATTTGACTAGCAGGTCGAACAACGGATGTTCTTTATATATATATATATAGTGTTAACCATATGCATAGAAAAATTGAAAAAAAAAATATACTTTCGCCGTTAATAATCTATGTCGATGAATAAAAACAATTGATAAAATTTTGTAGAACATCTCTGTTTTAGAATCCGGAACTAGACCACCTACATTTGGAGTACTCTAATTTTATAACTGTCATAGTTGCAACATAAAACGAGATAAGATAACCTTAAATATCACCTGAGTTTTTTAGGGGTACATGATAAATACAATATATTGCATATAGATATTCAAATTATTATAAAGTGTAAATGCCTCACATTGATTATATCTACCAGACAATTATCACATGACAAACATTTATTATTAATATGTCTTTTAGACCTTATGTCAAGTTTGAATGATTCCTTTTAACATCTGTCAAAATTATATGTTTATGTGCACAGTGAATGACAATTGAAGGATTCACCGGGTAGACCTTTTATTATTTTGTGACACATTTGAAGATTTGTAGATTATCTTTCAAAGGTATCTGTATGTGAGACACACCTGCAGATATTTTGGATTTTTTATGAAATTATAGTCATTGATATGCATACATGGTACGAATCTGGCAATAAATAAAAAAGAAATATGTCAATTTACGCTTACGGAGTCAGAACTAATGTCATAAATTATTTATAAATTTACTGTTTGCAAAACTTTGCATACTAAGGATTTTCTGCCCAAGTAATATATTACCTTAGCTGTATTTGGCAAACCTTTCGGAATTTTTGGTTTTCAATGCTCTTAAACTTCGAACATTTTTTTGGGCTTTTTTAACATTTTTGATTCGAGCGTCGCTGATGAGTCTTTTGTTGACGAAACGCGCGTCTGGCGTAAACAAAAATAAGACTGGTATTTATGATGAGTTTTTTTAAGGTATGATTAACCCATAAAAAATTCAATGTTGTTATAAATTCATTTATAAATATTTTAGGTACCAGTTATTCAAGGTGAACTGTCCAATGCTATACAACAAGCTCAGGTATCTTCTTTACTTGCTAATAAATGTATACCTAAAATAAATATATAACATTTATAAACAACTTAAACTGAAATCAAATGAAACTACTTGCATAACTTTATAATTCCTGTAGTTAAAATGTTGACATATTTTACATTTTTCAATTATAACCGTGCAATATACCATGAAATATTATGTAACTACTTTCACTAAAGTTAATTTTAGTTTCTATATCTTACTCTCTTTTTAATGAGTTAACTAAATTGAAGTCTAACGAGTATACAATATTTATGAAAATACATAAAAAGGGCTACTAAAAATACCTCGCAGTACAACAGACCACCATCAACCCAACAACACCCGACTCCTCCGAAAAAAAAAACAGACATACAAAACAAAAACAAGCTACTTATACTGTATAGAAGTCAAATATACAATTCAATATATATTGTTCTTTTAATTTAGGGCCCAGCTGGTCCACCAGGCTTGAATGGGCCTCAAGGACAACAAGGGAAACAGGTATTATCACAATTTGAATTTTGACCATGTGTCCTTAAACGTTGATAATGAATCTGAAATCAACTTGTGTAGAGCAAGGGTGTTACAGTTTGAAATAAAAGTAAAAATAATAGAGAATAAATGAACTTGAAACGGAACATATATTCGAATACAAGACAATCTGAAAAATAATTCAAGATAAAGACAGAAAGTAAGAAAACTGACGGACGTTTCATAGAACACGTTCACCAATAAAATTAAACAATGACGCTAGAATCTTTTGAAATATACCGAACTCCAAGGAAAATTCAAAACGGAAAGTCCTTTATCATATGACAAAATCAAAAGCTCAAACACATCAATTGAATGGAAAACAACTGTCATATTCCTGACCTGGTACAGGCATTTCCTTATGTAGAAAATGGTGGATTGAACCTGGTTTTGTAGCTAGCTAAACCTCACTTGTATGACAGTCGCAAAGAATTCCATTATATTTACAACAATGTGTGTGAAAAAAACTTGTAATAACATCAGGTATACTGTGTGCGGGTTTGTAAGCTATATACTCTGTACTCAACATCATTGATTTTTGAGAAATATCTTAATGTAAAAAACTAAAAACACATGAAAAACTACGAAAAAGTTTTCTTGGTTTATAAAGTTTCATATTTCAAGTTTTCATCTTTGAATCTGATTTTATTTATTTAAATCTAATTTGAAATGTAAATTGTTTTTGGTACTAAAGGTTATCAATATCTTCTGTATATTTCTGACAGGGACCACAAGGTGAACAAGGCTTTCCAGGCGAACTTGGGTCTAAGGTATGCATCTAGATCATGCTGAAGATTTATATTCCAATTATATAGTGGATTTTGAAATATTTGATTTTTAATATTTGTATTATGATTCATAAACTATTGAGTTCAACTTTTTTGTAAATTTCCAACTTTTATAACCACTGGGTCAATAATACATCAGAAGAATGTTAATCACTTTATAAATTTTTGCTAAAACTACGGTGCAAACGCGTCAATAAAGTAACCTATAAGTTTCAGCTAATTCTCGTGTAAAATTATCTTGGTTTTGTTGCTTACTCTTACCTTTTTCTTTGGTTTTCCAAATTGTTTGCTCTGAGACGTCTGAAATTTGTTTTCTCCAATACAACAAATTGTAATATTGTATCAATGTCATACTTTTTATTGCAGGGTGATAAAGGGGACCAAGGAACTGCGGGCACACCAGGAAATCATGGCTCACCGGTAAGACTGATGAAAGGGGAATAACTCAGTTATGACAAATATCTTAAAACCTTAATTTGATATTTTCAAAATCTAGACAAAACCAAAAAAAAAGAAAAACGATATCCTGAAGATTATGAAACGTTATCTAAGAATGAAAAATAATGTGTCTGTTTTTATAATTAAAACTGTCTTTGTTTTGTAATTAAAACAGGGTGGCCCTGGAGTGAATGGTCTACCCGGAAAAGATGGAGAGCCAGTACGTATATTTTATGTATCTTTTCGTTTATTATTAGCAGAAAAAAACTTTTGATTAACTTATTAGATCAACGAACGATTTGTTTTGCTGTTTATTATGAAATAAATAGATAATTTAATTGCTATTGTCAGATTCTAAATAAATATATTGCATTCATATGGTAATATGAAACTGACCTGCCGAATCTTTGTGTTTGACCAAACATTACAAAAAGTTAGAATTGAAATTTAAAAAAAAGTTACTAAATTTGGAATGTTTTATTTGTAGGGTTTAGAGGGATTTCCAGGTTTAGACGGCGATGCAGGAGAACCCGGTGAACCGGTAAGATTATTAGAAATAAAAACAAATGTGTACATTTATAGAGATATAATAATTATATCAAATACTTCAACAATGGGTTGTCTAGCATCTCTTACTTAAACATTGTTCTGTGCAGAGATTGGTAATAGTTATTAATCAAATATTTTGTGTGTTACATGTATCAGATTTCTATCTCAATTACTGAGTTACCAATTATTTTGTAACTTGAAGTACCGGGCTTCTACAGTGATAAGTCTTCCTCTGACCTACGTTTTATATATATTTCAATGTTGACTTGACCTGCAGTTACATTATTTGCCCCGAAACAGGCACCTAAAGGACCCTCAAAGATTTGTCAAAGAGAGCCTTTCGCATGCCTTATATAAGATAACCGATTAACATGCCAATACACTCTTTGGGATGGGTTTTACTGCGGGTGGGTGTTTCTATACCCCAGTCAACCCTGTGGTTCTTTATCGTTTGCAAATTCGTTAAGAATAACATACTTATTAATCTTTTTAAGATGAAACTTGTAAAGTATTTAAAGGAAAATATTGTAAGTTGATTAGAATATATAAAAACAAATTGTCAACTGAACTTCTACAACCGTTAGTAAATCCGTACTGAAAGGGGGCGTTTGTTTGACTTTGTGGTATCATACGTCCTGAAAATTTTGATTATGAAAAGTTTTGTAACCAGTTGTATGAATGAATCTTTTATTTAATGTCTGTTTCAGTTTCATCATTCGAAGTAATTGTTACCTTTAGTAGGTGCTTGTAACATTCAACTGTACATTAATGACAATTATTTGGTAAAATTGGGGCTAACAGGGCGAAAAAAGGCAAACTTTAGTTTTATCATTGAAAGTGTAAAGATCGCTATGCAGTTTACTTTTAGCCACTCATAGAATAATATAACGTAAGAAGTTTTGATTTTATGATTTAATCACATGTAAATGATACGTAACTTCTTTAGTTTGTATATGTGCATTATATTTTTCGTTCTAACGTAGATATCTGATGTTCTGCGGTTTTAATTTATTGGTGTACATTTCGAATATATAATATCATTTTGTCTTCCAATGAAAATGTTGACATCATTCGCACGAAAGTTTATATAATCAAACTTTGAATCTCAAATGTTTTTTAACCTTGTATATAGATATCCTTAGTCGGATTTGGCTCAAATTTAAAGAATGTTTGGGTTTAAACGCTCTTTAATACGATTCGAATACCACTGAGGAGTCTTGTGTAAAGGAACGCACGTCTAGCCTTATAATTTATAACCAGTTATGTAATGATCGTCTCATTTTTGAACGAATGAGGATTAAGAGTATACAAAGTACTCATATTGAACCTCTTATTCTTTGTTATTAATGAAGACCATATATATCGGTTTCAGAAGTCTGTACCGATATGTAAATTAAATGTCTATCATATAAGTTGATATAAGGTGCCCTCACGCCTAGTTAACACACACCTGTCATCATTTGAAAGTATTTGACAAAGTCGGAAATATTTTGTTTGTTCTTTTACTGCAAAATTGAAGATTGATTTGTCAGCCGTTTAAGTCAAGCCTCTAAATTTTAAGTCTTGTTTCTTTGATGAGTTTTTTTTTACATTTTTACAACAACTGGGTTGATACCACTGCTCCTCGAGGGTATCATCAGCCCAGTTGTCAGCACTTCTGTGCTGACATGATTATCATTGATATTGTCATATCTATAATTTGACTGTTTACAAAACTTTGAATTGTTCGAAATACTAAAATAAGTATTAAGGATTTTCTACCCCTGGAATAGATTACCTTAGCTGTATTTGGCAAAACCTATTGGAATTTTAGGCCCTCAATATACGAATAAAAAGATGTGGTATGAATGCCAATGTGACAACTCTCCACAAGTGACCAAATGACACAGAAGTTAACAACTATAGGTCACAGTAGGGCCGTCAACAATGAGTAAAACCCATACCGCATAGTCAGCTATAAAGGCCCCGAAATGACAAATTCTCAATTCTCTTCAACTTTGTAATCTCTTTGGCCTTTTAACTTCTGTGGTTTGAGCGTCACTGGTCAGTATTTTGTAGACGTACAACATTTGGCCTTTAAACTTTCTTGATTTGAACGTTACTGATGAGTCTTTTGTAGAAGAAACACTCTTCTGTGGTACAAAATTATAAGTCTGGTATCTTTAATGGCTTTTTCCCAAAATCCTTTAGTTTACCTTTTCGTAACTTTTACAGTTTAAGATATTTGATATTTTCTTGTTTTATATGTGCTATTTAAGTATATGCTGTACAAACATGATTTTCAGTTTGTAAACCTACTAATATTTTTTAATTCAACGATCAATATTTTAGGGCCTTTCGGGAAGAGATGGACAGCCGGGTCAGAAAGGAGATACTGGTCCAATGGTATACATAATTATTACGTATTCATTTGAAATTTGAAAAATGTAATTTCATTTAAATAGAGAAGACATAATTTATGACAGATATGAATTGATTGCATGCGTTTCATTTAATTGGCATTTTATTTTTGTCAAAGTAGTTACTTTTACATTCTAACTATTCTAATAATCATGTATCTTGCTTTGTAGCTTGTAGAAGTGATTATACATTCCTCTATGACATTGTATTTCACAATAGTCTATAACAACACAAATTACAATTAAAAAGTAAGAAGATACCAAGAGAAAATCAGTATCATAAGTCCAAATAAAAAAATGCTGCATTTGCTTATCACTTATTTAAATGTCAATTAATGGTAAAAGCAACAACCATCAGAATAATATTTCATGTAAATCTGGTTAATTTTTATTTGAAATCTGTTGTATGCAATGTATTTGTAGGGTCCTGCAGGTCCACCTGGCCCAGCTACCTCATTCTATAGAACACAAAGAGATTCACGAGTGAGTATGCAATTAGTAAGACAACATTTAAACATATATGAAACTTAAATTAACATAAAACTTCTATCTAAAACTCAACATCTCGTTTTTTTTTACCAAAAATATTTTGACTTGGTAGAATAAGTAATATTAAAAAAAAATAGATTGAAATGGGTTGAGTATTGACAATTTTGAATTTTATTTCAGGGATCACCAGGGCCAACAGGACCTTCTGGAGCACCGGGAACCAAAGGAGAATCTGTAAGTGTCTTCCTTCATCTCATATCACTGTTATAAAAGGGCTTTTGATGATATTGCTTTTCTAGATTTTTTTTCCGATTCATGCAATTCGTACTGCGAATCATAGTTTCATAAAATTATTCTTTTTATGTAAGAAAAATGCAAACGTCCGCGGACATAATGCAATATTGCTGAATTTGCAATACGAAAAAATAGAATGTATCAATATTGAATGAGACAAAAAATGATTTCAGGGATTACCAGGTCAATCAGGACCAGCAGGAGCAGACGGAAGACCCGGGGAACCAGGCCATCCAGGTGCTAATGGTGAATCTGGCAGAGAAGGACCACCTGTAAGTCAATATGTCAAATAGCAGAAAAAAAGTTTCCTATACACTATGTTATAATTCACATCCAAAGAGAAATGCAGAAACGTCTGTTGAACTAATAAAAACAAAGTGTAAAACAGTGTCAAATTCAAGTGTTCTATTCAAAGGAACAAAGTTTACTGGATCTTTCCATTATCAATGAAGGAAATCTTATGTAAAAAAGAAGCCATTGATCGTTTTTATATCTCTTTATAAATGTACAAACATTTGTAACTCACTGCAGTAGAAATATTTCTTGAAGTTTTTAAAAGTTATTTTGAGTTATCTAACCTAGAAGACTTCATTTGGCGGGTCTAGACGGTATAAACACGAGACTTTTCTTTTCTTCTAATTTTCTTTTAAGTTACGTTACAATTTTTAAAAAGAAAATTGAATCATAATCCAGAATTACAACAAACACTAGATTATCAGACAATGCAATTGCTTAAATCTCCACTTCCAAAATCTGATATACCTGATTTTCTTGATTATCCAAATGGCCAATCGTCCACTCGTCACCTAAACATAATTACAACAAAAAAAAAATGTTTGGATTCTGAATTATTAGGATTGATATGATATTTGAAACCGATTTCAAAATGTCGAATAATACTAAAATTGACAATTAAATTCCAAATGGTTTTCACTTGTTTTTTTTTCAGCATATTTATTTAGATATCCCCTAAAATGCAAATTAAAAAATTAAGGTTAGCAGGTGATTGTTAGTGTTAAAATAGGCTGCTTCTTTTCAACTTCGAAAATTGTAAATGTTGATAAAGTTTCACTGAAAAGTTCAAGTTCAATGCAGATAAAATAATCAGATATTGCTTTAACAGCAAACAAAGGATCATTTATATAGTGAAGTAAAATGGCACATAATGAGAAATATTTCGACTGACACGCGATACCGTTAATTCTTTAATATTTTGATCTCTCTAATAGTTTACATTGTTTCAGGTAAAACAAATAATACTCTCAACTTCATCTTCAGCTAAAGTACACAGCGAGATTTAAATCTAAATTGACTTTGTTCCCAGGGTTACAAATACATTGTTGGCGTTTTTATTGTTATTACTTATAGTGACTGTTCTAGACCCGTACGTTGTTCACAAGTGACAAAATACTTGTTACAAATAAATTTCTAATAATGATATATCGGCCAGCACTGAGTAAATACATCAGTGAACAGAGCTATGTATATCTCATTGCGAATTTTATGTTACAATTATTTAGGATTTTCTACTCCAGGAATAGATTACCTTAGCTGTCTCTGCAAAACCTTTCGAAATTTGGGTCCTCAAAGCTCTTAAACTTTTTTGGCCCTTTTAACTTTTTTTATTTGAGCGTCACTTATTAGTCTTAGACGAAACGCGCGTCTGGCGTAAATTGTTTTAAGTCTGGTATCTATGATGAGTTTATGTACTAAGGATATATTATTGAACATAATATATAGGAAATAATATGAATAAAACAAATCATGCATTCAATGCTGATTAAGCTAAGGAAATGATTAAGAATGAAAGTATCAATTTAGATTATCAGCGCTCATATAACAATATGTATCCGATGCTATCCTATAACAATATAATTCATTGATCGTGTCTCAATACTCATACTGTTATTTTATTCAATCCGGATACTGATCTTCTGTGTTGGATTGCTATCTTTCCGGAAAGCATCCCAATTCTATAATTCATTTGAGCCAAAAGAATCACCAACATTCTCTTGAAACCAATCAGAAATATATTTTGTTAGGTAATCATTTCAAGATGGCGTGTATAACGTATGAAACTAATAGCTTCACATCACAAAAACCGTTTGCAAGCATGAAGTTTATAGGAATTAAACAAAACTGTTAAAAACATCAATTTTATGGCAATTTACAATATATTTATCTCACAATTTGCGATCGTTTTGAAATTCAATTTTTTTTTTAGAATAATTTGTAACTAATCTAAATATTTATCTTTTCCAAAAGGGGCTTGAAGGAGAGCGAGGACCAATGGGTGATCCAGGAGAACGTGGTTTACCTGTAAGTTATATGTTTTATCTTGTTTTGAAGGTTCTACTATAAGTAATATGTTTTATCTTGTTTTGAAGGTTCTACTATAAGTAATATGTTTTATCTGTATTAAGGTTTAACATCCAAACACTATTTGGGTTTTCTAATTGTATAGTTAGAAGAGATAACAATTAAAGTTACTTACTCGTTCCTTTGATGCTGTTTGTTTCCTGACCTACATATACCTTTTTTTAAATTCAAGTGAAGTTATATTTTGATTCAAAACGCTGTTTATTTGACCTTATACCATATCCTTTACCGACCTCGTTTCCACTAACCTGTATCAGAAAGATAATTGCTTGATATCCTGGTCTATGTTATAGTTCTAACTGAGACACAGCGCTTAGTACAAATAGTTGAACGTTGTTACTATAGCCTGTTATAAATCTCAATGTTATAATTCAGTGTATTTGTGTTATAAAATACTTACTGATAATTTTTTGAAATCATTTCTTCGTTTTATAGAGGGAAAAATGTAAGTTCGCGTTAGTTTATTTCCTAATAATATCCTCTAAATCAATTGAGATAGCGGTAAAGGTCGAACAAATTTATAAGAAATTGATTGGGAAATAAGAACAGAAAAAATAGTTACCATTCTTCTTGTCAAAATACCGTTTTCGAAGAGTGTGACTCAATATTCTGCTGCTGTTTCCGGCCTTTGCTGGGAAGGAGGGAAAAAGTGAAAGTTTTTTGTCCGTTCGTCTGTCCATTTGTTACTCATTTTGAACACTACTCTTTAAAGACCGATTGCCCGAATGCGTTTGTTCTTTGTAGAATTGTGACCAAATTTACCACAAATGTTGAATTAACAATTTTTGGCGGGAGTTACATGACTTACAATACTACTGCTGCTTCAATTTTTATTTTTTTTAAGCTAATACTTTTTAAAACATATTCGAAGCTGTAAAACATTCCGAGTTGTGAATGAATATAATAGAAATTAACAAAGATAATGTGTCCACTTCATATGAAACTAAACTTAGGACAGGCTTATCGCGAACTTTAAAATTATATTATATGTATTTCCCTAAAGAATTTGAGGTAAATACACTTCAATAAAAAATGGGTTAAAATAGCAATGGGCAATCAAACACCACTATCCGAAGAAATACTAATGACTTAATAGCCAATAGAAAAAAGAACAAAAAGCAGTCCATAAAACACCCTTCAGAATAGTATCAAGAACCCAACTAAAAACGGGAGGGATGAACCTCAATACTATTTCCTTTGTGTAACAATGTATCCTTAACATAAACTTAAGAATATTTTGTATCATAAATGTAACGGTGACAGTCCTTTAAGGCATAAAAAGGGTATGAACTGGTTTTGCAATTCTAAGTTAACCGTTCATCAGTACTGTTAAATGGACAACACATTCAAAAAATTGAAATGGCAATTACATGTATCTTTAGTTTACCAACTTCTGAATAGATTTTATACAAAAATTAAAGAAACCGCTGTATGTTATACATCTTTATTAAACAATTGTAATATTGTTACTAACCTTAGAGCAAGGAGACTACCATTACTTTCATTTTTTAGCTTCATGAATTTGTTAGAAAACGCAAACATGTTAAACCATAAATTGTATATTTATCTGAAAGTATTTTATTTTTCTTTTCTCTAAGCAAAATCATAAGGGAAAATATTATTCAATTCTGAATAACACAAAAGCAGGTAGTAGTATTTTCAGCAATTTGAGATGTCATGGAATTCGCAAATGTATTCTAGTTCAGTCAATTTGATTTTCCAACATGTGATATCAGAATTCCTGTTTAAAATGATAATGCTTTATTTTATCACGTAGGCATTTAATCAACCTTGAATAATTCGTCCAGACAGAATTCCTCTTAATTTACTTTAATTTGTATAATTAAATAAAAAACTAACAGACAATTTGAAATTCCACTTGATTTCTACTAATTACCTTTAGAGAAACAAATTCATGTTAGTTGATAAAAAGCCTTTGCTGTTTGCATAGAAACATGAACTTAAGAACCTGTTACTCTCACCTTGCAAATCATCAAAGTTAAATACAAAACATTCGAAGATCGCTGCATTGCTTAAATAGATTTCTTACAATAAATTAAGCATAAAATTTTGCAGCATCGATAAGTTTACAAGATAAAAATGAGTTTTGTAACGCGAACATGCTTTCACAAATTATAGAATTTACAGCAATCATTTTGTCGGTATGCGAAGCGCATTTTATGTTTATATTATGAGCAGCATCTTCAGTTCAAACACTCACGACTTGTATACGAATTATAGGTTTTACCAATACAAATAGAAGTCTACAATGAAAACAAAACAATGAAGAAATCAAATGGTAGATTAAATGTAACTGAATAAATATGATACACGTCGTGATATTTGATCAAGACTTCTTTGTCCTCATATTTCTCGCTTATATATGCACGGTTTCACTTGGACACTATTAAACCAAACAAAAGTACATCTTTCTTTCAAGTAATCGGAAACTTATTTTCCATGATACTGTATATGTCTGATTCTGGTAGTTTTATTGAATTATGCTCAGGTCATTCCACTGTCAAAGTCAAAGTAAAAAGTACAGATTATTTTTATTCTTCAAATGCTCTTTTCTTTAAAATGATTGCACATACAGTTGAAAATAATCTAGAACTGATAATTGAAAAATTTTTCATGTCTTTTATTAAAAACAAAACAATTGTTATTCTAATAAAAAAAGTAAAATGATATGATATGTTTGGTATGACATTGAAGAAGTAACAAAGACAACGTATATTTCGAGATCATCGATTTAAAGTTACGTTAAAAAACTAAAGAAAACAAAGCCCGAACAGAATGAAATAAAGATTAAAGTGAGCGATAGTAAGGTTGAAAACAGAAATTTTTAAATCATATATATTTTATACATTTATTATGTTCTTAGTACGTGTTGTTTTGATTTTTTTATTCTTCACCGGCACATTTCAAGCAAATTACTTTAAATAATAACCTATTTTCCATGTTGTTTTCCAAACATATACACTATTGAGTAATGTTGTGTCTATTTAATAATTTATAGGGAGCTATAGGAAATATCGGTGAGCCAGGTCTGCCAGGAATGGAAGGAGAAAAGGTAAGTCATGAGAACAAGTGAAAATATTTAAAACATCGTCTTAAGCATATTAATTGTATTCTCTCACCACTCATGCTCCTATTTCGAATCTGAAAAGTAAATGCAGTTTCAATTGTCAGATATCAGTACTTTCTCACAGAATATTTTTCCACATTAGATGTGTCGCTGCATTCCCATTACACTAAAGTAATAACTCCCTCAGCCAAAAAATGACATTATATCTTAGGTGGAGTCGGCTTTTCTTTTAAGGTCCATTTACTCACATATCTCCTCAAGCAATCGAGTATTCATACACCATTAAAAACTGTGTGTTCGAACGTTCATGATGAAGTTGAATTCAAAACATTTCTGCAGACGCAATATATTTATAAATGTTATTTACATTTCAATTTGTTAAAGTTGAAAGTAAAGCTTTATATACTTGGGATTGCGTTCAAAAGTGAAGGTAGAAATTAGAGGCAACAGTAATTTGTCGATGTTCAAAATAGGAAAACGGATTAATCTACAGGAAAATGTGCAATACTAATTTGCCATTTGTTCTTTTATAACTTGTAATAAAAATGCAGATTTTCTCCACGTTATCATTTATTACATTATAGTCTTAATTAAAAGGCATATATTCTCCGTACTTCAATTGAATGAAGAAAAAAATATTTAACAGGTGTGATCATAATTCAACAGCACATATGTTTCCTCCGGAAAACAGATTCTAACAAGTTTTGAAATCTTTTGTATAAAAAGAAAACATAACAGGAATACAATTGTTTTATTAAGTTTTAGGTTAATTGCTGATATTTTTTTTTAAGGATGTTCAACATTATGCTGTATCTGGTCTCCTTAAAGGAACTACATTTATAATACAATCAAGATAAATGCATTACATAAACATGTCGTCCATTCTGTAATTTGAAAAATATCAGAAAAAAATGTTCTGTTCAGTGTTTCTGTGATGAAGTTTTTTAAAAATGTGACTGTTTGGACACATTAAAGTAGGATAATTGGAAATAGATAGAATTACTACAAATTTACACTTCCCCTGACAAAATTTGAAATGTATAGGTCCGTTAATGATGCACACAATTTGTTTGTCTTAAAACGAATTTCAAATGCATGTCATTTATTTACATTAGATTTTACAGAATTTTTTTCCAGTTAACGATTTGTTATTTATGTACTATTTGTGGTTTCACTACTTTTTGAACTGTATACCTTACCGGAGCACCTGAGTCCTTCCCCGGATTTTAGCCGAGTTTGTGTTCCATTTTTTTGTTTGATGTTTTGTGAACTTAATTTTGTCTGTTCTTCTCTTTTCTATTAGCCATGATGTACCGTTGTGCAAGTGTATCCCTTCAGAGTGACATGTTAATATATATACATTGTGTATATAGTAGAAAAAAACTGCGTGAAATTTGTAACTTATTTGCGATTATGTTTTATTTCTGAGGAAGAATATTTTTTTATTTATAACAGTAGTTTTGAAATAATAAACTGAAATGTTGAACTTAACAAGGCGGACGGACAACCGTATAAATGTAATGTATGATATACATAACCGTCTCTTTGTGGTTGTTCACCCAAGTTTGTACAAATGAAGGAACTATAAACAACTGTCATACGAGTGGGAGGTTAAGCTATAGTTATAAATCAGGTTTAACCCATCATTTTTTTCAGAAAATGCCTGTACCAAGTTAGGAATATGACAGTTGCTTCCCATTCGCTCCATAGGCTGATATAGTCGAGCATTTGATTTTGTCAGGTTTTGAAGACTTCCCCCTTTTTTTAATGAACCTTGGAGTTTGATATTTTTGTTAATGCTTTTTTGTTGTATTGCAAAATAGGAGAAAAAAATATTCGAAAGATTCCAAAGTTATTGAGCTAAACGAAAATATACAACTCTGTGCATATTTCATTTGCATACGGTTAAGGTAGATTTCTTCAGTACTCACTTCGTATTTTTTCAAATGCATACTGTCTGATTTTTTTACTCGCTTAACAGTTGAGCAATATGCCGATTACGCGCGTATATTGTCCGAGCACTTAAGAGCTTTTGAGGTTTACTTTAGGATGGCAAACACCTCGTCATATGAGCACATTATTCCATACATTTGTCTCCGCAACTCCTATTTTGGTTTCGTCCAAATTACTTTGAGGTTTCCATTAGCAAATCAAAGACTTTGTCAGGGGCAGGTGAATCATTTTGTGAGTTTTGCCCGCAATATCTGAAGTTTTTATTTGAATGAATGATTTCCGAAGCCTTTGTTTTCAGGTTTTAGTTATCTCACACATCTGTATTTATTTTTTTTAATTTTAAATATATTTGATAATCATCTGTTAAATAAACCCTAAATTGCACAGGGAAGAAGAAATTTAGGGGTCCCCGTATGAATGCACAATCTCAATTGTCGAAGTAAAATGCAACATCTTTACTTAATTCAGACGGTGTCATGTACTTGATATAAGATTCTGCTTTTGTTGGGTTTGTAGTTCTGATTTCTAATATATCAATTCGTTGTGATAAACTTTTATATAATACATGCTATGCTTTTAAATACTATTCAGTCAGTCAAAGCTTTGGAATGGCCATTGCGGTCATAAAAAGTCTTATATTCAAAATGCATGTTGCATGAAGTTTATTCATTGAAATTATGTATTTTTACTTCTTAAAGTATGTCATTAATTTGAAAAGAGTGTAAAAGTAACACAAAGACGAGTCTGGACAGACATTACAATTAAATTAGCCTAAAACTGTTATATCTGTTTCGTATCAAACATTTCTCACGATATAAACTAGGGGAGTATTTTATGCTTGATATCTGACACGTGAAGAGAAAGGCTAATTAAAAAGATTTGTCTTTTCTAGGTCTGGGTGTTTCTTTGTACTCCTAACAATTAAGGAAATCTTTTGATTTATTTTAGTCTTCAAATATTATTTGCTGATGTTGGTGCACATGCGTATTGCTGAAATAGGCCTTACATAATCCATTTCTATGGAACTTCACTGTCATTTTACATAATATCTTTAAGACAAACATCGCATTCCATTTTTCTTTATTAGTTAGAAAAATTTTAGATTTAAAAAATGAAGATCAGTATAAGAGGACAATCGTTAGTTTTTGTTATAGCAATTTTCTGTTTTAACTATTATGAATGTTTTCATAAACGAGAGGAACGTCTTGCAAGGAAGCAAAAGTTGAGATTAGAAAAGAAGCAAAAGTTGAGATTACAAAGACTAGAATTAAAGGCTAAAAAACATAAGGAATTAGAACAACAATTAAATCAGACTGTAGGAAAATTAGAAGAAAAATTAGTTACAAAAGAAAAAAGTTTAGAAAAATACTTAAAAGATAGTGAATTGTCTTTATCAATGCAGGGTGATCAAGGCACTCCAGGACTTCCCGGGATTCGAGGACCTTCAGGACCGGATGGTAGGCCGGTAAGTCATTGTAACTTTAAAGATTAACTTATCTTATATTCTATCTTATTGCAAATTATAAGTTCTACAATACCCTGAATGCACTAGGACAACTAATAATGCACATGTTTATTATAGTAGATTATGTATGGTAAGTGTATCTTAGCCAGACTTTTATCCTAAAAATAGATATGCGGATATTTTGTAAAAGGGGTTCTATTTCCGACTACAGGAATGAGTATCGGAGAAAAGTGACATTATTTGATTAAAAAGAATCGTAACAAAGCTGATGAAAATAATCGACAATATTTTTTTATAACTTTACCTCAGCATATTGTTTTTTTTTTCTCAGTGTCGTATGAAATATTAATGAAATATTTACGTGTCGTTTTATTACATTTATACTTCCCCAGACTATTTGTCGGTCAAAAATTCCAAAGACTGTTAATCCAGTAAATAATTTTGGGATCATTTTCCCGGAATTTTTTATATTCATTTATCATTGGACAATAGTGACGCCATTGAATACTCGCGTTGCTTAGGAACTCAATATGTGTACTGTAAAATAGCCTGATAACTATGTGTCTGTCGTGGATATCATCTAAGTCTGCTTTCAAATTAATAAATTACTCGCAAAGAGCAATGTTTAAACATTGCACGGAGGTGAGAGTTTTTTGCTCCGTGTTAAAGGCTTCACTGTGACTTTGAGATGAAGAACAGCAATAAAAACTCTTTTCCTTTGCTTTTTGTGCTTTTTGCTGTTCATGTATTGATTTTGTGTCATAGATGGATACTCCATATCCTTTGTTTTCCTGTTATGAAAATGTGAAAAACGAGAATCCGTGGCTTTGATTATTGTAAATAAAATATTTGCGAATAACACAAGGACAATAAACTTATATATATATATATATATATATATCCCTTACACCAAGTCAATAAGTGTATAAGCTAACAGAATATCATTATGGTATTTATAATCTATATTCTTCGCTTATCAAACGGTTTATTATTATTTTTTTAGAAAACTGGCCATATCAGTTTGTTGTGTGATAAAAGATAAAGGAACCAAAGTGTTTTCTTATTAATTTGTTTGTTTTAGTTGGTTAGTTAGTTTTTAGCCGGAGTGCTGAGAGAGAACCACTAAACCATAGGAAAACCGACAATCCTAGTCAATTAAGATTGGAGTCAAATGCACCTGTCACCTGCAGGGTTCGAACTCACAACCTCAGTGTTGATATGCTAGTGATACAGTAGTTTAACTACTTAAATCACTCCACTACCGATGCCCCTCCGAATAGACGAAGTTGTTCTACAACTAAAATGCATTATTCATAACAGCACAGTTTTCATTTTTTACATATTTTTATTGTAGGGGTCGATGGGACCTATGGGACCGAGTGGGCCTATGGGACCTGTTGGGCAGCCTGGTATATCAGGTCCGCCGGTATGTATATCTTATCAACATATGCTACTCATTGTAATTTTATAGAAATTATCAGAAATCTATTTGTACCATACTCAATGCTATTTTCTTTTAAGAAATGTTTATTTGCTACTTTGGAACATTTTGCTGCTTTGGAACATATTTTCATCTATTTCATACTTTTTTCTTTAGGGTCCTCCTGGTCCACCCGGCGATAAGATTGATTGGGTAAGTAGTATTTAAGAATGTTTATATCATTAATACTTTACTACAATATAACCCACTCGGAAATGAGTCGTAAACGAATGTATTATGTAACAATTATCATTGTTGAAGATAAGAATATGATAAAGTGTACTCAACTTTAAGACACCTGTATCCTTGTTATGTGGATAACATTTTCAATATTTGAAAGATTGGCTAGGACAACAACTGAAAAAAGTGATTAGATATGAGAAGATGTGGTATAAGTGCCAATGAGACAACTCTCCATCCAAGTCGAAATTTATAAAAGTAAACCATATAGGTCAAATGCATGGAATATTATCTCTGAGACGCCGAGGGAGGAGGAATTTAAAACTGCTATTGCAATCCGGTGTTGTCAAGAATGTCAATAACGATGTCAAAGTTACGTCATACATATATCATTATCAACAATTTTTTTCTCCAAAAATAATGTTAGGTTAGCCTGATGTTTATAATTTTATATCCATGACGAATATGGCTTGTTTCTAACGTCATCTGATTATCTAAGTGTCAGTTTATAACATTTTATGTGTTTATATTCATGCATAAATATTCCTTAATTAAAGGATGATCCTTAAGGAATACTATACATGTTAGTGTTGTTATTTTTCAGACTGCTTTTATTAGTCATGCAGATAAAGATGTCGGTTTCCGTGGACCGCTCGGACCTCCTGTAAGTTGAATATGATTTTAAGAACACCCTTTTAAGTGATTTATTTAAAAAGAGGAACTGATTTCAATAAATGTAATATCTCTATATTTTCATGAAATTTATTTTCAATATTTATTATTTTCTGCAGCAATTTGTTATAAACATGTCGACATCTTATGAAATATAGTAAAGTACGACATTTTGTGTTTCCTTTTAACTCATGAACAACGTAGTAAAATACTGTTATATTTCACAGGGTCCATCTGGTCAATCCGGACCTCCAGGTGTGGTAAGTTTTTTTTCTTATGAGGATGAATATCTCTTTTTACAGAGCAAAAAGAACAATTTTGCAAAGTTCTTCAATTTCACTTTCAGATGTACTGAGGATGTCCTGTCACTCAATAACCCACAAGTCAGTGAGTGCTTGCATCTCGTATATCCGAGTGAACTTGAGATTAAGATACTACCGAAACTCAAAGGTCTACTTCTTATCTTGATCTTTTCCCCGACATTGACACAGATGGACGACTTATAACTCTTTTATGACAAACGTGGTCTATTCAACTTTCCAATTGCCAACTTCCCATTTCTCAGCAGGATCATGCCCGATTATGGTAGTCACAACACAGATGAGCGTTTAGAGAACATCATTATTTGATGCTTTCATACCAAATTTTAAAAAATAAAACACTGTAAAACTTTATTTAATATGGTGTCCTCAAGTTCATAACAATTAACAAAAAATTAGTAGATGTAATTAAGACATATACAACATCTTTATAGATTTTGTTAATCACAGTATACATCTTCAAAGATACCCTCCAAGGGTGACTGGGGAATAGAAATACGGTCACTACCTACAGGTCTTCTTCCGACCGGCAGTAAAACCCTTGCCAAAGTGGGGCGTCCGTTAGGCTGTGCGGGATGTATCAAGTACGCAGCCACGTCCGGTCAGAATGGGGACGATAAATCCGATGCCTCGTGTTGAGAGAAAGCTATGCTCTCTGCACGTTAAGAACCCTTGCAACAACTGTTTAAGGGGTCCGTAGGTGGCCTGTTGCAAAGCAAAATTTCTATCCTTATCCAATTAACCCTAATTATTCAGTGGTAGTCTAAATTTTCCCGACCTTCATCCCAGCCGGCCTCTATTACAGGACCTACCTATTGTATTTATTGTTAATTTGTTCTCGTCCTGAACATGCATGAAATATTTGCCACTGGACGTTAAGCAACCAACAATCATCAATCACCACTGAAGGGTGGTAGTTGTCTTTACAGTATTACAAACGCTACATCGCCTAAGTACTAGATGTATTGTTAATCAATTTCACAGAAATAAAATATCTGACAGTCACCAAAGTCTGTGTAGTAAAAATATTTGAAGAGGCCGAATTCCTGACTTGAAAAAACACATAAAATAGCCAGTGTTTACTGGTTTTGTTCCCATTCAACCTGTCCTTTAAATTATCTACTTCTATCAATAGAAGAAGAAAATATACAGACATAACTCGCCATACAAGAATTGACTTGAAGGTTTTTAATTTAATTATGTCGTTATATCAGATATGCAGGATACCAAAAAATAAATAAGTGTAGATACTACTATACCTTATACCGCATTACAAAACAAAAGTAGACTCAAACTACTGATTAGGAAATCGTCCATGATAAAAGTATTATATACATATTTTTGTTCTGAAAAGTACGATCCTTAAAGTGTTATTTTTTAGTACAACTGTGCGTTCAAACCGTTATATGTTTTGCAGCCAGGTGTGAGAGGTCCAGGAGGAAGCCGTGGTCCAGCAGGAGGGCAAGGAGCTCCGGGGGTACCTGGTCTTTCTGGACCACCCGGTCAAAATGGACCTACAGGATTGAGGGGTCAAAATGGTATGCCAGGCATGCCCGGATTACCGGTAAGTTGAAAGTGCAATAGAAAAGAAAATACCGCTCGGTATTCATATTTCAATAGTGAAATACATTTAGTACATCTACTCATTGTGAAGCAGAGTATTTACAACATTAAAACGAATCAAGATATAAAGTGTTCATAGAAATAAAGAAATGAATGATTTGATGCAATAAGAAAAAAACATGCTTGGTCTATCTTATTTTTTTTTATATACAAACTCATTTTATATTAATTAGTATTGTAATTTTCATTGTTATTAATAAATGTTATATGATTATTATAAACCAAATCATGAATTCTATCCTAATTCTATCCTATTTTGGGGAAATTTCAGAAATTCAAATGCGACGTCACTTTTTTTGCGTTGATCTCTTTGGCTTACTCGGCTGTGAATTTTTATATGCTGGTTTATGTTGTTTTATGTATCCGTTTTTATTCTGTAGTTAGTCACCACTTCGGTGTTATCATGTATATCTATTATATAGTCATTTTTATAAATTTACTGTTTGCTAAAGTATGAATTATTCTAAATACTAAGGATTTTCTTATCCCAGACATATAACCTTAGCCGTATTTGGCACAACTTTTTTGAACTTTTGGTCCTCAATGCTCTTCAACTTTGTACTTGTTTTGGCTTTAGAACTTTTTTGATCTGAGTGTCACTGGTTAGTCTTGTGTGGACGAAACGCGCGTCTTGCGTATTAAATTTTCAACCTGGTACCTTTTGTTAGCTATTATTGGTATGTTTCTCTGTCCTAAATGTTCTCCCATTTATTTGTATTGTAGTCCTGTCATGTAATGTTGTCATTTTAATGTTATATTTAACATTGCCATAAAAGCGGGAGGTTTGGCTAGCCACAAAACAAGGTTCAACCCACCATTTTTTTTTCTTAAAATGTCCTGTACCAAGTCAGAAAAATGGCCATTGTTATATTATAGTTCGTTTCTGTGTGTGTTACATTTTAATGTTGTGTTTCTGTTGTGTCGTAGTTCTCCTCTTATATTTGATGTGTTTCCCTCAGTTTTAGTTTGTAACCCGGATTTGTTTTTTTCTCAATCGATTGATGAATTTCGAACAGCGGTATACTACTGTTGCCTTTATTATTCAATTAATATTGTGACGTATTCACTACATATCTCAAGTGAATTTTTCGTTATCTATTTTAGGGTAAAAGTATTCCAGAAAGTGAAATAAAGGAGCTATGCTACCAATTATTAAGAGGTAATATGCACACTAAATTATTGATTTACGGGTGATGTCCTAATTAGGAATGGATAGGACGCTTTATCAACAGTTTCAAAAGCTATGAAAAAATAGAAATTGATAAATTCTACGATATTTGATATTTTGTGATAAAATTGTTTTTCACATATTCTTTCATTGACACTGTATATTGAAAATTCAAATAAGTTGTTTGTTTGTAGAAAACTATGAAGAGTTGGTTGCAGGTCTGAAAGGTCCACCGGGTCCTCCTGGAGTTGGTATGACAGGGAAACAAGGTCCACCCGGCAGAGTTGGAGAACCGGGTAAGTATATAAACTGCATAAGTAACTAATGATTAGAGAAGATACATTAAAACATAAAATAAGATCATTTCCCATCAATGCGTCTACATCTACTGTGCTTATAAAAAAGATATCATAGGGACAATTAACATTGATAACCGAGGAGAGACCGACAAGACATTGCTAAAAACACAAAAGACTAAACAATAATCTACAAAACCCTACAAAGAAATTAAAGACTGAGCATCATGAACCCCACCGAAAACCAGGGAGTGATCTCAGCTGCTGTGGAAGGGTAAACAGATTTTGTTCTCAACAGACTCTCATTGTCAATTTCCAGATGTAAGTCAAGATATGAGACAGTGTGCTTTATCGCATCAAAAAAATATGTCCATCTACATTGGCCATTCTTTGATATGAAACAAAGTCAGCAAGGTAAAAAAGATACATCACAGAAGAAACTAATAACTTTATATTGATTAACATTTTATTTATAACTCGAACAAATACTGTATGCTATTTTTTCGTAGGATTTTAGGTAGTCATATTACGTTCATGAGTACATATTTCAGCTTTTTATCTTTTTACTACCAGTGACAGCAGTAAAAAATAATTCTACTGTGAAAATGTTTACTTATACTGTAATCCCTTTACATCTTTTTTAAGAAGAAATAATTTTATTCGAGCGCCTCTGGTGAGTCTTGTATAGGCAAAACTCCCGTCTGACGAACTATATTATAAGACTGGTGATGAGATTTTACATTTTCATTTTGAAATATAACACTCATTGTTTTATCTAGGAGAAAAAGGACCCCCTGGTATGACTGGTGAACGTGGACCAATGGGAGTACCTGGTACTCCAGGATCATCAGGACCATCAGGGCCTCCGGGACAACAGGGTCCCATTGGAAAACGGGGTGAGACAGGCGTTGGAAGAGACGGAAGAATGGGTGAATCCGGAGCACCTGGTAAGACGATTCATATTTTGTTTAACTGAAGAAAAAAACTCCTTCTGCAAAATAATGTAACTTTTTCATGGTATACGTTCACTTTTTTGTTAATTGTTAAGAGAATTAATGTCACTTTTGTGCTTTAAGATATTCTGAGCCAAATGAAAACCCGATATTTTAACTAATCATTTAAACAAAACTCTGATTCCTTGCCTGGCTTTGGCTACATTTTTGTCCTTTTTGGTTTTATCAGCTCTTCAATTAATGAATAAGTTTTGGTTTTTAAATATATTTTGGCCTCGAGCATTTCTGAAGAGACATTAATTGTGCAGTAAAATTGATACCGGTAAGTTATATGTATTTCTTTATTAAATCATTGCCTATAAAGACATACTCTTAATTTTAATCTGTTCATTACAGGTCCAGCTGGGCCGCCTGGTGAAGGCATCCAGGGTAGACCAGGTGAACGGGGACCACCAGGTGTGCATGGCGTGCCAGGCAGAAGAGGTCCTATTGGGCCATCAGGTCCTCCAGGCTATTGTGAATTTTGTAACTTTGCACCAGGCCAAACAGGAGGACCAGCGCCAGAATATATACAACTTGGACGAAATGATATCAAGAAACCTTAAAAACATTAGAACATTTTGGTCAATAATTGTGATATCTCCTGTAGCATTGTCAAAACTAACGAATCCCTTTTCTGCTTTTTCCATTAGAGCATGCAAATTCTATTTATTAAGTGCTCGTTCTAAAAAAGTCAAATTGTAGTTATGTTTGAAATATATAGCATGGTTAGAAAACCTGTTTGTTGGATGTTTTGCATTTGATCAGTTGGATATATTAATCTTTTACATACTATATATTATCCCATATAAATGTGTATCAGTTATTTAGCTTACCTCTCTTGCATGTAGCTTGTTTTCATTTTTTCTAGCATACAATGTTTTCCATTTGATATTTGACAGTTTTGTATGTTTTCCCCAAGCTACTAGTTGCAGCCATATTTTCATTGCATGCATGTTGAACATTATAACAGTGATAGAAAAGATTGATATCATTATAATCATTATCAGGCCAGTATCACCAGCAAACCAGCATGCTTTCACCATGTAAATCTCAGGGATAAAAGAAAGCAGAATACTGAAAACAAACCGACCTATGTTTGATACTGTTAGTGTCAAAATATATGTCACTTATGTATGTCATATATCAGATTTTCAGTATTCTCTATGCAAGCCTATGTTAGTATTATATAGACATGCTACAGGAATTAGTTCTCGTGTTTTTAAGGACCCTATGGGTATCACAGGCACACATTACTTTACAAATTAAAAGCATTGACTCTAAATGGAATTATTCATATTCATCACAATTGTTTGAGCATGTCTATTATGTGTGATGTATTCATGTGGTTGTAAAATGTTCTTACTGGATTATTTAAGAATATATGAATTATGTTTTTTATATTTATTACTTTCTATTGTTTTGTTGTTTATCTAATGAAAGTGAATATTATCAATTACAATCAAGGTTTTTAACACAAGCAGAAAAATAAATACTTTATTTATGTAAGGGGTCAAAACTGTTGTATGAAAAATTAAACAGATTTGGGGGGAAACTCATAGTGAAACGTACAGATAAGAAATGAACTTCATTTTGCATATGATAAACAATGGTCATTTAATTAAAGAGGTGGACATTTTTCTATAGTTATACTTGTTATAATTGTTATATTTTTGTATTGTATATATAGATAAAAAATATTGCTTTTTACGTATTTTTCTAATATATTTGTTAGATGTTTTGTACTTATTTTCTACTAACAATAATGCAATTTCTACTGTAGTTGGCTTATTTATAAATTCGAAAGGTCGTAGAACCGAATACGGTGTACTAGTATTACATTGATGATTCCAAAATTGAAACTAATAACATGTATTGTTTGCAATCAAATAGTTTCTGTTGAATTAGTTTATATGATTCAAGGCCAGTGAATAATTAACACCGATTTTTGGTTAATTTTTATGTGTTTTTTACGAAATTGATCTTAGCAACTTTTATCAATAAAAAGCTTACAAATACAATTGGTTTTTTTTATAAATATTGCAATATTTTATCTCAGTTCTACAGCTTAACCTCTTTAAAATAACAAAATCCTCAGTAGCATTCCATGAAAACAGTCTAAAACACAGTCGGCTCCGGATCCGTTATATACGGACACTACTCATTCTAGTTCTTCTACGAGGACAATTTATGGAATTAATAAAACATTTGTGACGATTTCACTTGTGGGAAACGCATAATCTAGTATAATGAGTTCCTTTGTGGTTCATACATCAAATTCTTTTGCAGAGAATGAAATCGACTTTTCCACAACTATAACTGCTCTACGTGCAACTTCCACTTTAAATCCTTTTGTGTGTGTCAAAGGCCTCATAGTACGGAGAACAAATCTTTAACAAAAATAACCATTTATCACTGTATACCGTTCGGCCAAAATCGTTGGCTGAAAGCTCTTTGATATTCTCCACTATAGCACAGAACAACATAATAGAAAACACAAAGAAGAATCTGATTCTACCAAAGATCATCTCGTATATTCTATGGGTCCAGTGAGAAAAAATGTTTTCAAATGATTATAAAACTCAGAAAAACGTATAGTTTCAAAACAACTGCATTAGAAAATGTCATAAACAAAGAACATTTTTCAACAAGGGAGGAGGTCAGTTGGGATTTTGACCCCATAAGCAATGCCCAAAATTAGACCATGTACAACTTTTTCAGGGTTCGCCAAACATTTTTACTCCTGGTTGATTTTTGAATTGATAATTATCTTGATTATCTTGGAAAAGAAAGTGGTTCTAGCGAATCTTCTTTTTTGTTTGGGCTCCTGTGTCTTGTATTGACTCCCTTATGCGCCCTTTAAAGTTGTATTTTGGTAACCTCAACAGGTCTTTTTTCAGTTAACACAAATGAAACAATTGTAACTAGTCCATCCTCAATGGTGACAAAAGAATATTTTTCAAAAGACTTCCTTTTTGACGTTGTGGACAGACGCCTCAACTTGGGGTTTGGAATATCAGTGGAATGTCAGTTCATCTTTCACAACAGTGGCCAATTCATACCAGAAGAAACACATCAAATGGCTGGAGTTGGAAGCAACATTAATTCAGTGTTAGAATATTTTAGTCAGATAAGATAGTGGCTTATATAAACAAACAAGGAGGGACAAAATCGCACAGCAGGTTTTTTCTTCTTTTTGACATGTTTTAGAGTGTCTCAAATGGGATATTTATCTTCATGCAGTCCACATTCCAGGGAAGTAGAACTGTCATGGCAGACGCCTTATCCCAGGTTCAAAATCATGTGAGGATCACGGAATAGAGTTTGCATCTTTCAGTAGTCCTGAGAAAAATTCGAAATGCTGGCGATTCCAAACAGACTTGTTTGACACAAGAAACGATCAAGTATTTAAATGTGTGAAGCCTAGTTCCAGATCATCTCGCTTTTGCATGCAATTCTCAGACAATAATAACATGGAAAAGGATGTTTTCTTACAGGTTATTAAACTTAGTGAATTATCATGCAATGTTTTCAGATTATACCAATTCAAGGTTCCTGATTGGATTTTCTGAAATGGTAAGAATGTCACAAGACATTTTTACTCACTCATTCAGACATGACCTTAAAGTAGTTGTTCCACAGCAATTTCCCTGATCATTTTAGCTGTTCAAACACCCTGTCTCAAAGTAAGAACAACAGTTACACTAACATGCTGTATCTTAATATGATTATTCACAGTTCTAAAACTTCGAATTTGATTTGGCCTACCAACTGTTTCGAGCACCATTGGTGAGTATAGCGTACAAAATTATAAGCCTGGTATCTTTGATGAGGTTTTACAACCACTGGGTCGATGCCACTGCTGGTGGACGTTTTGTCCCCAAGGCTATCATCAGCTCAGTAGTCTCCACCTTTGTGTTGACATAAAATATTATGATATTTTCATTTTCTGTAAAGTTTAAAAGTTGAATTACTGTTAATTCAGAAATTAATGCGTGCATTTATTCTTGTGAATCACTGATTACTGGTTAAAATGCAAGTACTAATTAAAGCGATTGCAAACATAAAGTGAAGGCAAATCACTACTGAAATTGTGAGTTTTTTTATTATTGCGAACCCCAGACTGATGCTTTTTTTGCATTAATATAAACATCGCAATAATTTCCGAATTTACAGTATTCAAAAGACTTAGATTTTTCTATACCCCCCTCCCTCCCCAATATATTTTGCCTTAGCTGTATTTAGAAAAACTATTCGGTTTTTCCAGTATTTAAAGCTCTACAACTTTGTTTTTGATATGGCATAATAACTGTGTTAACTAGAGAGCCCACTGATGTGACTTATGTAGACAAAATGCATGTCTGACATACAAAACTATAAGCCTGGTATCTTTGATGAGTTTTTAGAACCACTGGGTCGATTCCACTGATAATGGACATTTCATCCCCAAGGTCATCTCCAGCCCAGTATTCAGCACCTTTGAGTTGACATGAAATATCATTGATATGTTTTTTTTCTGTAAATTTAATGTACAGTCGAACCACGTTGTGTTGAACTCGGTTGTGTCAAAAACTTAGATGAGATAAATTAATTTCTCGGTCCCAGTAAAATTCCCCTTCAATCAATGCATTTTAACCTTTGATGAGTCGGACTTGGTTGTTTTGAATTCTCAGTTTTAAGTCGAATAAATTTTAAAGTCCCATCAATGTAAAATGAATGAAAATTGACCCCTATGTCTTGAAGTTCAAAAGCGAGAAATTTTCGAAAAATGCAGACTTAAAGATAAAAATTCAAATCTGATGTTTTTCTATGTAACCTTATCATTTTCATAAATGATTGAAGCTGAGTAAACAAGCAAGTATAACAGTTAAAATGATATGTTTATGGTAACTGGTAATTAACACCTTTGTTGTTCTTCCAAGCGGAACTTTAGTGTGCTGAACATATTTACCTTATATAAAAACAAAACGGTTTTAAATGACCCAAGCCGAAATAAAATGAATCATTAAAATCAAAATTCATTAAATACAATAATTAAAAGGATTATGACAAATTAAGAATAGCTGAATTACCCTCAACAATGATCTTTCAGGACTTGTTTCATTCCGCAAGTGATTCCATGATTTATAGTGATTGACCTTCGTAAATATTTGTGTATTGATTTTATTTGGGAATGATTTGTATCTGTACTTGTGTGTTTAATTATTATGATGGACCAAAAAAATATGGAGCTTGAATACACAATCATAAGTTGTCATATCAGAAAAAAAGACACACTTTTCAAAATACCCATTTTACCCAAATCTCAAACCGTATTTCATGCATTCCAAATTTGTGACGACACGATCGACTTCTGATGAGTCAAACCTCAAATTTTTTGGTATTTAAAGCTTTACAACTTTGTATTTGGTTTCGCCTAACAACTGTGTTAATTCGAGCCCAACAGATGAGTCTAAGGAAGAAGAAACAAACATCTGGCATACAAAATTATAAGTCTGGTATCTTTGATGAGTTTTAAAAAATAAAAGGATCACATGACTATTCCAGCAATGAAACACATTACATTTCTTGTCATGTGACACTTTGGGCTGCCAATAGTTTTACAGGAATGGAGTACTTATCTTTCTTCAGTGCTGAAACTGTCTTCTGTTTTCTACTAGGTTTGCGATGCTTATTTTTTAGCTTTCTTTGTATTGTTTTGTGGATTATTATTTGTCTTTTTTTACCATGATGCTAATTGCTTTATTCTTTTGAATGTTCCATGGTATCTTCTCATTTTTTAACTGGCTCAGATGTTAGAGAAAACATATTTCAAACATGTGAAAGTTAAAAGTGGTGACCATGGGTATGATAATGATTATGCTAATGGTATATTCAGTGTGTATTGCTTATAACTCACACTGATTAAAAGAGCATAGTGACAATAAAAAATAATTACAAATGAACACATATGTTTTGATTGTATGGATACACAATTTATATCACAATATTATAATCAAAACAGTCATTAAACAGTACATTCATTAAAATATAAAGATTCCACAAGTCTTTCATAAACCTTCATATTTCCTCAGTTTGTAGAACCTCTGGTTGTTTCTTTTTTGGCATCATTTCTTTCTCTGGCCTGAAATATTGAAGGAAAATTGTTCAGTTTAAATAAGTGTTGCAAAAAGAAGAAGGTATGGGAAGGTAACTATTTTGGTCCCTTAATTTGACATATTGTATAGACACCTGTCTATTGTTGAAAACTGTTTTTTGACCTCTAGATGTGTCATTGCATGAGTCTGGTTGATTTATTCTCATCATCTCCTTTTGTAAAAAGTTGAAAACTGTAATTTTAGGAATATCTTCAATTGATTGTTTAAACCAACAAGAAGAAAGGAGCTGTCAAGTTGACTAAAAAAGGGTTTCCAAGCTTGTTTGATCTACCATGTTCTGTGCGTATTTTCCAATCTAACAAGGACCATAACTTCTGTACAGCAAATGTTCAAATCGCCAAAATTAGCTTGACCTCTATTTTCCTATCAATAACAACTTATCAATAGTTTGACAAGCATAGGTTGAACAGTTCCTACGTAATTGTATGCAAACAAAATAAAAAGTGTCATTTTCCAATCTATCAAGGACCATAACTCCTAAACGGTAAAAGTGAAAATAGTCATTAATTGAACATGACCTCCATTTTGTCATCTGTAACAACAATATAAAATTTAAAAAAGCATTGATGGAGCGGTTCATAATCATTACACTGAAACAACATAAAGTGCCATTTTCCAATATATCAAGTACCATAACTCCTGAACGGTACAATATTTAACTTGACCTCGATTTTGTCATCAGTAACGACTTATTTAAATTTGAAAAGCATTGGTTCAATGGTTCATAAGTTATTGCACGGAAACTTTTGTAAGTTGCTTTCCCCTGGCCATGCTAATCATTTTAATAACCAGATTTTTCATTTAGAAAACCCAGTTAAAACTGACACTGATAATTAATGCTTAGTCAGTGATTTTGCTAGCGC